GTCAGGCCGGGGTCTAGTGAGTGCCCAGCTGGCCTTGGTCACGGACTGGCCACAGCTCTGAGAGTCACCGAAGGCCCGAGTTAGGAGTAAAACAACGTGACGTAGCCGATACAAGCCCCAGAGCCACACCGGGTGGGTTTTCATTTGGCGCTGCCTCCAGCCAGCTCTTCTTCAAACGCCCTTGGGAAAGCCACTTACCTCTCCAGCATTCGTTTCCCTGAGGGTCTGTGAGATGAAGATAATAACAGTACCGGCTTCATAAGGTGGTGATGCAGATTAAAAGAGAGTATGTGAAAAACGTTGGTAACGGGGTCTGGCACATAACTGCTGTGGGAATGGATGGGGCACCCATTCATGCCCACGTGCCCGGGACTTGCCTGGTTGTGCTGCTGGAAGTCTCGTGTCCCAAGAAACCCCTCAGCTGAGCGAAGTGGAACAGCTGGTTATTCTAGCGGTGTGTGTATGTCTGATTTTTTTAAAAAACAGCCCGGCTGGCGTGGCTCAGTGGGTTGAGCGTTGACCTATGAACCAGAGGGTCACAGTTCGATTCGCGGTCAGGGCACATGCCCAGGTTGGGGCTCAATCCCCAGGGTGGGGAGTGCAGGAGGCAGCCAATCCATGATTCTCTCTCATCGTTGATGTTTCTCTCTCTCCTCCCTTCCTCTATGAAATGAATAAAAATATATATATATATATTTTAAATATATATTTTATTGATTTTTTACAGAGAGGACGGGAGAGGGATAGAGAGCTAGAAACATCGATGAGAGAGAAACATCGACCAGCTGCCTCCTGCACACCTTCTACTGGGGATGTGCCCGCAACCAACGTACATGCCCTTGACCAGAATCAAACCTGGGACCTTTCAGTCCGCAGGCCGACGTTCCATCCACTGAGCCAAACCAGCCGGGGCAAAACATATATTTAAATAAATAAATAAATAAAAATAGAAACAGTCAATAGCAATGTTCAATTTTTTCCATTAACAAGTACTTCTCATTACTATGTTTCATATACTGAGCATGACGGGAGGGTTACTGATGCATTCATTTTGCATTGATTTATGGAGTGATATTTCTTGGGTAATATTTTTTTTTTACATTTTAATATTTTTCCCATTTTTAAAAATATATATTTTATTGATTTTTTACAGAGAGGAAGGGAGAGGGATAGAGAGCTAGAAACATCGATGAGAGAGAAACACCAATCAGCTGCCCCTGCACACCCCCTACTGGGGATGTGCCCGCAACCAAGGTACATGCCCTTGACCGGAATCGAACCTGGGACCTTTCAGTCCGCAGGCCGACGTTCCATCCACTGAGCCAAACCGGTTAGGGCTATTTTTCCCAATTTTGTTGAGAAAATTGACAGAGAGCCCTGCACAAGTTGAAGGCGTACAGCACAGGGATTTGACTTAACCTACTTTCTAATAATGAAGCAAATGAAACTACTGGTCATTTTCTATCCATTCCTGCAGGAAGGGCCACAGCACTTCTACTTGGAAAACACTTTTATTTTTATTTGTTTTTTACACGTTGAAATCCCAAAGATGGAAGTAAAAAAAAAAACAACTCCAACCCACCAGCCGGAATAACCAGTCACATTTGGTGAACATCATTTTGGACAACTTAATATGCAAATACAAAAAGAGAAGCCTGGGTAATGAACAGATGGGTAGAGATACTTTTATAAAACCATGACAATCATATTTCAGATACAATTTAATTTTACTTGAATTTCACAAAAGAAAAAGTTGCTGGAACTGCTGAATTCATATAAATATTTCCTCTGGACAAGAGATACTTCCCCTAAAATATCCCTTCAAGATTAAAAAAACGACAACTGTGAGACCATTAAAGGTTGAAGTCATTATGATTTTTTCCAAGGACAGATTTTCCTTTTTGTTTGTACAGGCTGACTTTTTGCTACGAAAGCTGAGTTTGTTGGCCCAGCCACACTGGCATGTACTCGCCGCTCTGAAAATATGGGAGCCCGTCCTACCAGTTAGTAACTGTGAGCCCCAGGCCTCTCCCGGGCTCCCCCCGCCCTCCCGGCCGCCCCTCCCGCCGCCAGGACCCACCCCAACCCCGTCTCCGTCTCCCCGGGACCCACAGCCACAGGGGGAAGGGACGCTGGTCCCAACACGCACCACTTCCCCAAGCAGGTCGTTTCCCTTTGTTTCAGGTTAAGGCCCAGACACAGGGCTGGCCCTCCCTGTGAGCCCCGCAGTGAGAGGTCTCGGGGGGGGGCTCCCCTGCCGGGGCACAGGGCTCAGCTGTTCCCAGAACCCGGTCAAAGCCCCAAAAGGAGGGGCAAGGAGGGGTCTATTTCCTGAGGCCGCTGCTCCGATAACTACAGACCGGCCTCAACCAACGGGGCCACGCGCTCTCCCCGTTCTGGGGCCGCAGCCTGAAATCAGGGTGTCCGGGGCTGTGCTTCCTTGAAGGGCCCCGGAGGAGGGTCCTCCCTGCCTCTAGCTTCTGGGGCTCCCGGTCGCATCATTTCAATCTTTACATGGCCCCTCCTCCGTCCTCACGTGCCCACTCTCCCGTGATCACGTGGCCCCGCCCCCTTGTTCACGCGCTCACTTACGGTTGTCCACGTGGCCCGCCCCTTGTTCATGTGCTCACTTCGATTGTCCACGTGGCCCCACTCCCTTGTTCACGTGCTCCGCCCCCTTGTTCACGGGCTCACTTCCCGTTGTCACGTGGCCCGCCCCTTGTTACCTGCTCACTTCCGGTTGTCCACGTGGACCCACCCTTTTGTCCACATGCCTGCCCCCTTGCTCACGTGCTCACTTCCGGTTGTCCATGTGGCCCGCCCCCTTTTTATGTGCTCACTTCCGATTGTCCACGTGGCCCCACCCCTTGTTCACAGCTCACTTCTGGTTGTCCACGTGGTCCTGCCCCCTTGTTAAGTGCTCACTTCCGATTGTCCACATGCCCCCCCCTTGTTCACGTGCTCACGCCCCCTTGTCCACGTGGCCTCGCCCCTTGTCCCGTGCTCATGCCCCCTTGTTACGTGCTCACTTCCGGTTGTCCACGTGGTTCCGTCTCCTTGTTCACGTGCCCACACCCGGCTGTTCACGTGGCCCCACCCCCTTGAGACCGTGGATGGTCTGCTTCCGGGTGCCACCTCCCTGGTCGGCCCCTGCTCTCACACCGTCCACGGTCCCTTTGCCAAAGTCCTTCCCGAAAATCGCGTGCGCGTCTCATCTCTTTCCCGCTGGGACTGTGATGCTGGGATTGAGACGGAGACAGGAGAGCGGTGGCCCGGCCGCAGTCCGTGCGAGGGTCCCCGGAGGCCCTTGTGAAGGGTGACCAGTGACCAGGTGGCTGGAACACACTCTGATAGCAGTTCGCTGGTTACCGGATCTCCTCAAACAAGAAAACTCTGTTTCTTTTTTCAAAAAGTCTGTATTTCTAACCGTTCACTTCAGACTGAATGGTCCTCAGTCACACAGATTCTCAGGCCTGGACAAGGTTTCGGAAATATTTAGGACAATCGTGCCTTTTCCCAGAGAAGTCCGTTCCCTTCCCTAAGGCCTCCCACCAGGAAACGACAGCCCTGGGCTCAGGCCCCGGTTCCGATCCCCGGGTCAGGGCGCCGGCAGAGGTTCTCAAACTGGGTTCCACAGCCCGTGGCGGTTTCATAGGGAAGTGGGTGGCTTCACGCGGCAACCCCACTCCTCCTCCTCCTTTTTTTGTTTTGTTTAGTTCATCCTTCCCCCAGGATATTTTTTCCACTGATTTTTAGAGAGAGTGGAAAGGAGGGAGGGGAGACAGAGAGAAACATTGACGTGAGAGAGACACATCAATTGGTTGCCTCCCCAATGGGGCTGCAACCGGCAGGTGACCTTGGCTGGAATCGAACCCGGGACCCTTCAGTCCACAGGCCATCCCGTCGCGCTATCCACTGAGCCAAACTGGCCAAGGGCCAGAAGTTCCACTTTCACCGTCTGTACACTGAGCTGTCGCTTCAGCAGCCTCTGAAAAAGGGTTCATGTGCTGAAACAAATATTCTGTGAAAGTCACTCCATTATATCAGAAGGTCCACGTGTTTTTGTCCCTGGAAGATTTGCTCCCATGGAGAAAACGTAACTGTTTCTTTGAACCACATTTCCCCCCTCTCTAATAGATTTCTCGTGGCCAGAAAAACAGATGTATGGGCCCTTGAAAAGCCAGCAGCGAGAATAAAAGGCTCATTCACTCACAGGAATGAGCTGGGCGAGTCAGGGCGCTGATAACAACTGGCCCAGATGTGTAATCGCATGCCCATCGTTTAGGAAAATGACAGAGAAGCACCGATCGGCTGCCTCCTGCACACCCCCTACTGGGGATGTGCCCGCAACCAAGGTACATGCCCTTGACCGGAATCGAACCCGGGACCCTTCAGTCCGCAGGCTGACGCTCTATCCACTGAGCCAAACCGGTCAGGGCTGTCATTTTAAGTTGAAACAGACAAGATCCAAAGCCAGGAAAACCTCTTGGGTTAGATCGCAAAGTGGGAGAAAGACAACTGGAAATGGAAAAGTGCACGGCCTTTGTCCCTGGCGGTTCTGGGCTCTTCCTTGAGTGGGTCAAGGCTGAAAGAAAGGCGAGGGGGAGTGAGCTGATTCCACAGAGCGGAGATGAAAGTTCAGACTCGATACCCAAGAGGACGAGGTTTGAATCCCGCGCCTCAGCCACTTGCCTGCTGTGCAACCTCTGGAGACTTACCTTACCTCTCTGAGCACCCTTTCCTCATTAGTAAATGCAGATTATAATGGTGCTGCCTTAGAGGGCCAGCCAAGGGTTCCAAAAGCGGGCTCTGCTCCTTACGATGCTCCCACGCCAATGAAGTAGTCACAGTCACTGTTTAGTTGGTTTTTTAAATATATTTTTTTTTTATTGTTTCAGGGAGGAAGGAAGAGGGAGTAAGAGAGAGAAACATCAATGATGGGAGAAAATCATTGATCAGCTGTCTCCTACACACCCCACACTGGGGATCCAGCCCCCAGCCTGGGGCACGTGCCCTGACTGGGAATCGAACCGTGACCTCCCGGTTCATAGGTCGATGCTCAGCCACTGAGCCACACCAGCCAGGCTACAGTCGCTGTTTATTAAGCATCTACTAAGAGCCCATCTGTGGATGCCAGAGCCAGAGCTCCTGATCACTGGGCATGTGGCCTCTGTACACGAGGGAGGGATTCTACCTGGTGCAGGGGGAGTTCAGAAGAGGGCTGTTGTCAAAAGGTTTGGGGTTCAGGGAAGAGCCTGGGAGACTCAGAATGCATCTGTCTTTGCCATGGGCGGCTGTGTGAGGTCAGCTCTCCCCACCCAATAGGGGCTCGAGAAATATTTGTTGAATGACTCCATGATGAAAGGAAATCAGCAAAGACTGAGTGTTGGTGAATGGCTCCTTCTGGATGGAGGGAGATAAAAGGAAAAGAAAAAAACCTCAGGAATTTATGAACATAATGTTGAACCAAATAAACCAGAGACAAGAGACTGTTCTGCATGGTGATGTTTGTATAAAGTTCTAGAACAAGTGACATAAATCTACGGTGAAGAGCCCGAATAGTGGTTACTTGGGGCTGTAACAGACAAAAGCTGTTCCCCTCTCCCCCCATTTGCAGCCAATGTAGCCACTTGCTAAAGTTCTGGCCAAGGAGACCTAAGGGGAACGGTCAGGTGACAGAAGGGGAGACCTTCTAAAGGCCATTCATGGTCTTTGTCCCCTTGTCCCCTCGTCCTCCGTCTTGCTCTCTGACTCCAGATGTGATGTCTGGATCTCTGGCTGCCCTGCTGGACAGAGGACCAAGGCCCCGCACTAAGGTTGGAAGAGATGGGAACTAGATCCCTAACTTCTCCATGGGGCTGTCAGCCCTGGACTGCTCACCTGCTCATCTCTAGACTTCTTGTATGTGAGGGAAAGAAATGTGGCCGGAGGTTGAGCATCAACCCATGAACCAGGAGGTCACAGTTTGATTCCCGGTCAGGGCACACGCCCGGGTTGCGGGCTCGATCCCCAGTGTGGGGCATGCAGGAGGCAGCCAATCAGTGATTCTCTCTCCTCATTGACGTTTCTCTCTCTCTCCCCCTTCCTCTCTGAAATCAATTAAAAAAACATTTTTTAAAAAAATAAGTGAAATAAAACCTGTATGAACATGGATACTCATATATGCAAAGAATCCATCTTGACAGCCCCACTCACACTTCCCTGGGGATCCAATAGCCACGCTTCTGGGGAGGAAAGTAGGAATGGGGGACTGGAGAGAGCGCCTATTACTCTACAGTGAAAGGTGAGTCTTTGGGTAATTATTTTAATTTTAAAAAATCAAGCGAAAAAAAGAAACGAAAAAAGGAAGTCATGCAAGAGAGGCTGCAGCCCATTCCCCAGCACCTGCATGGAGCCCCTGGTTAAAGAACTGCCATTTGTAAGCAGTAAACTGCATGTGTCTAGACTTGGGGAGGACGTAAGGAATGATCTGTAGACCAGTGTCTTTGCTCTGCAGGTGGGGAAACTGAGGCGCAGGGAGTGGCCGGGGGCCCATCCAACACCAGGGCTCATTGGGCCCGGGCCCGGGCTGAGGTCCAGGCCTCCGACGAAGCTCCCAGCTCTGCCCCCGCGCTGCACTCTGCACAGATGGTTTCGTGTCTCCGGGAAAGGGGAGTTTATAAATTTGGCCACATTCTGGAACAACACAGCCATAAATGGACATGCCCGAGGAAGGCTGGGACGTACCTGACCTTTCCGACTGGGGAGGGGGAGGGGAAGGGAGGACAAGGGGGGCAGCCCCAGCCACGCTGAGAGTCTTGCCTCCGGGGGAAAATAAAGCCGCAGCCTGAGGGAGGCTGCAGAGAAAGCGGGCAAACCCGGCAGACCTGGTCCGCATGCCCCCTTCGCAGCTGTCTGGCTCTGACCTTGGGCAAAGGCCTTCACCTCTCAGAGCCTCCCTGGTCACCAGACCTGGCGAAGGAGGAGAACGTGTGAGAAGGCAGATGGCCAGGCCCAGCTGCAACGCAGACTCTTCCAGGACGGGGCCCAAGCAACACTATTTTCCAGAAGCCTCCTGGGCTGGTCTGCATCACCAGGGAACTGGAGTTCAGGAGTCAATGACATCCGGGCTCTAAGGATCATTAGTTTTATCAGACTCTCTTACCGACAGGTGAAATCTGGACTCCTTAGCCGGGAGTTCAAGGCCTTCAGGGCAACAGAGCAGCTTCACCCCCACCCCCACCCCCCCTACCCCCGCCCCCTCAGGCATCCCCTCCATCCTTTCATCGCTTCAGTGTAACCGTCCTCCCTGCAGCCCCAGATAAAGCCACCAGCTCGGCCTTCCCGTGGGAATCAATGAATTCCACACACCACAGGCTCTTCCTTCTCCAAAGGCATTCACATCCACGTTCAAGGTGAGCAGTCGCCCCACCGACCCCATCTGGCTTCTCTGTGATAGGAAACCCACCTCAAATTTTCTCCCCGCCCTGGAAGCTTCCTTGGGTCTCTGCACTCCTAGACTGAGTCACTATCTACTCAGCGCCCTACCCTCCAAATGAATCAATGAATGAATTAGTGGAATTCCTGATCAATTTGCTGCCCCGTCCTGGTGCCCCGTTTGTAGCCAATCATGTGTGTTGACATGCAATGAAATCGGACTCTCTGATCCAACTCTGTGCTGAATGCAACAACCACTGAAAAATATTCAGTCACCAAACATGTATTGAGCACCTAGTGAACAAACCATTTTAGAGGTTGGTGAAGTGTGTTGAGTGCTTTAAGAGCGAAGGATTGAGAGGTGCTGCTCCCTAGAGAGTGGTCTGGAAGCTTCTTCGCAGAAGTGGCATTTGAGCTGAGACCTGAAGAATGACAGAGCCAGCCTGCAGAGCTCCAAAACCGGAGACTGGATTTGGGTTTGAGGGGAGCTCTCCAACCCGGCCAGTGTGGATCAGTGGTTGAGCGTGGACCTATGAACCAGGAGGTCACGGTTCGATTCCAGGTCATTGCACATGCCCGGGTTGTGGGCTCCAACCCCAGTAGGGTGTGCACAGGAGGCAGCTGATCAATGAATCTCATCACCATCATCATTGATGTTTCTATCTCTCTCTCCCTCTCCCTTCCTCTCTGAAATCAATAAAAATACATTTTTTAAAAAGAGAGAAAGAGAGAGCTCTCCAGCTTCTAGGTGGTGAGTGGAGGTACGTGGGACAGTGGCCAGCGCCAAGTGAGGTGATTAACAGCCAGCCACGTGCAGAGGCAGGGCCCAACCGCACGAAGGTGGACACCACAGCGGGGCCTGTGCTTGGGTGGGACGGCTGACCTTCCACACCTTAGATCCTTTGATTCTCTGCGCCTTATCTATGTTTTAAACACACACAAATAAAGAAAACAAAACCCCTTAGAGCACCCGAAATTGGCTAACGCCCAAAGAATTGTTTTTTGTTTTGTTTTGTTTTAAATATCATTTCCCACTGAATCTTCACTTTTATGTTCCAGCAGCGGACATCCAGCCCAGGGGACGAGTTAACTGGGACAAACGGGCTTCCGTCCCTGTCCCTCTGTCATTGTCCTCTGGATCGCAGCTCGTGGCTGCTAAGAGGGTCATTTCCTGTGGCCTCAGCAGGGTGAAGTGTCTTCCCACGGATGCAGCTGGGTCAGCTGCATTTCCCGAGGGGACGCTGCTCTGGGCTGGGGGGGGGGGGGGCGGGGGGGGCGCAGGGGGCGGGCGGGAGGCAAATGGCAGCCCCAGAGGCTCAGACAAGCAGCTCTGGCCCCACCATTCATTTTTAAGTGAGTTACTTGAGGTTTAACAAAAAATGTGGTGAGATTCCCAAGCTAGCCCACCAGAAGAGCCTGGAGCCCTGATATTGGAGTCATCTAACATGAGCGGAACCAGCCCAAGAGAGGGTCTGAGTTGCCCTGGCCAGTTTGGCTCAGTGGATAGACTAGTGTTGGCCTGTAGACCGGAGGGTCCTGGGTTCGATTCCAGTCAAGGTGTATCTCGGTTGCAGGCTCCTCCCCGAACCCAGGCCCTGGGTGAGGATTAAAAACAAAAGAGAGAGAGAGAGAGCGTGTTTGAGTCACCTGATTTGAGGGTTTGAGTCACCTGATTTCATGACTCACCAAATTCAGGCCAGGTAATCCTCTCAGGTGAAGCTGGGCTGTGATTGGAAGACAGAAAAACCCCTCTCCCACTGCAGACCAGGGCACCCTGACCCCAAGACAGGGGACTCCAGCCCTGGGGGGACCACTGAGCTCCACAACTATACAAGCCACACACACACACACACACACACACACACACACACACACACACAGATTCTCTGAGTTTCTAGGTTCAAAACCCCTCCTGGTTACCATCTGGTTTTTTAACCTGGTGCTCTGCCTGCAGGTTAGAGGCAGGGGGTTGGGGGGGGTGCCAGGGCAGGCTCTGGCCTATACCCATCAAATGCCTCCCACGAACCCATGAATCTCATATTAGGATCATCATGCACCTTCCTCTCATGCCACTCCCCCTTGCTCATTACCTCCAGTCACTCTGGCTCCTTTAGGTTCGGCCTTCCTGCCTCAGGACCTTTGCCCATGCTGTTCCCTCTGCCAGGATCACCAGGCAGAGTGCTCGTGTCACCGTTAACCTTTCCTTCTCAGAACCAACCCCAACTAACGAATTGCATAGTGATTTTCAAGACGTCTCCCTCCACACCTTCAAAGCCATCCCCTGATCTGCAACAAGGGGTCCGAAGAAAGGGGAAGAGAGAAAAAAGGATAGAGTGTGGGGGGTTTTTGAGAGCCACGCCTGGAAGAGGCGCACATCCCTTCTGCTCATTGGCTGGAATCAGTGACATGCCCCCTCCTCACTGCAAGGGAGACTGGGAAATGCAGTCTAGGTGAGTGTGGAACCCAAGACAGGGATGTCGGTGCATACCTGCTGGCTCTGCCACAGTGAGGCAACACGGTGCCCAGCATGAGAAGAAAAGGGTGAGGCAGGCCTGGACAGGCAAAGGCCCCCACCATTGCACTGCACGCGGCCTCAGCATCCCCACCCAGGGAGAGGAAGGCTTGTCTCCTGGGCCTGTGTCGGCCTTTTCCTGAGCACGTAAAACCAATTAATGGGCGGTCCCAGGAGCGGACACCGCCCTTGTCTCTCTGACAATCACCTCTCCCCAACAAAGGCTGCTTTCCTGCACATGCACTGTCCTGGCCGCAGGAGCACACTGGTGCCCACATGCACGTCAGGAAGGATGGAGAATTGGCGGACAGGTACCCCAGCTCCCGCCCCCGTCTTTGGCAAGACGGAGGCCTGCTCCACGCTGTCTCGGAGAGTTCCCTGCAGGGGTTGAGCTCTGCTTGCCCACCAGGGCAACTGCCCTGATAACGCTTTTTCCAGGGGCTCCTTCTCTTCCCCATCTCAGCATGATCCCCTGGGATCGGCTCACAGATCCATCATTTGCATTCGTACTTGTCTTAGGGCAGTGATGGTGAACCTATGACATGTGTGTCAGAGGTGACACGCGAACTCATTTTTTTGGTTGGTTTTTCTTTGTTAAATGGCATTTAAATATATACAATAAATATCAAAAATATAAGTCTTTGTTTTACTATGGTTGCAAATATCAAAAAATTTCTATATGTGACACAGCACCAGAGTTACAGGGTTTTTCAAAATGCTGACACGCCGAGCTCAAAAGGTTCACCATCACTGCCTTAGGGTTGGCGTCTGGGAGGCCCCACACCAAGCCCGCTCCCCAAGGACAGGACCATGGCCCGTGCTCTTCTCCCCTCACGCCCTTTGGGTGACTTTTAAGAAGACACGAACCGGACCTCTTGGCCAGGGCTGCCGCAGACTCAGAGAGAGGGCCGCACGCACTTGAAAACGAGCAAGTCTTGGAAGAGGTGTCTGCTCATCCTGTTTCTTTCCCACACACAGGAAATCCCGGGCAGGCGGCGCTTCCGGACCCGGGGAGGGGGCGGGGAGCTCCCAGCACTGGGCCCCAGCTCTCCTCCTCGTGAGAGGAAACCTTGGGTTATTGGAGGGTGTTGGCTGCCTTCCTCGCTGCTCAGAGTTCTGGATTCGAGTCCTCGCCCCACCGCGAGGCGACCGGGTCACTTTGGCTGCTCCTTCCCCTCCCCTGGGCCTCAGCTGCCATTTCTGAAGAGCAGGGATGGGGTGGCTGTGCTTCGGGGTGACTTACAGTGGCTGCGTCCTGCGTCTCCTCAGAACTCGGACCCAGGCCTGGCTACGCTGGGTCGCTTGTGAAAACTTTTAAGGGATCTGAGGATTCAAAGCAGACAAGTATCTGGGCTATTTTGGAAGGCAGCATTAGCAACCGCTAAGAAGAGTTAGAGTGGTTTGTCCCGTAGCTGGAATTTTCCATGGAAAAATCATTTTAAATATTTTCTTTATAAATTGGCACTCGCTAGCTAACTTTTCTCTTTTCCTTTTTCCAGGCTTGCTCCATCTCTACGTTGCAGCCCAAGTGACGTAGGTCCGTTAGATCATTTTGCCCGTCTCGCTTAAAACTCATCTATGGCCCTAGCTGGTTTGGCTCAGTGGATAGAGCATCGGCCTGGGGACTGATGGGGCCTGGGTTCGATTCCGGTCAAAGGGCACATGCCTGGGTTGCAGGATGTCAGAGAGGAAGGGAGAGGGAGAGAGAGATAGAAACATCATCAATGATGAGAGAGAACCATGGATCGGCTGCCTCCTGCACACCCCCTACTGAGGATCAAGCCCACAACCTGGCATGTGCCCTTAACTGGAATCGAACCCGGGACCCTTCAGTCCGCAGGCCGACGCTCTATCCGCTAAGCCAACCCGGTTAGGGCAGGGGTGGGCAAACTTTTTGATTCGAGGGCCACAGTGGGTTCTTAAACTGGACCGGAGGGCCGGAACGAAAGCATGGATGGAGTGTTTGTGTGAACTAATACAAATTCAAAGTAAACATCATTACAGAAAAGGGTACGGTCTTTTTTTTTTTTTTAGTTTTATTCATTTCAAACGGATCCGGCCCGCGGGCCGTAGTTTGCCCACGGCTGGGTTAGGGCAATAAAAATATATTTTTAAAAACCCCGCAGCCAGGAGCTATAGCCAAATGCCCCTCTCTTTCCAAAAGAGAGGAAATGTACTAGAAAACCACTGGCAGAGCCTACACGGGCGACGATCCTGCCAAATGCATGCGAGTGCGTGGGACCCGGGAGCCTCGCTGTGACCTCAGGCCAGGCCCCTCCCTTCCTGGGCTATATAATGGGGGGCTGGTCCAGATCATCTCCTGGGGCCCCTTTACTCGGCCTGGCCTACGTGCCTCCCTCCCAAAAAGAAAAAACGAGAGGGAACGAAAAGACAGGGGTGGTTCCTCTTGTTCCACCTCCAAGGCCAACTCCCCGAAAATGTCCAGCGTGACATCGATTTAACATAAACAGCGGTGCGCTCACACTCCCAAACACCCCAAAAGGAGCCCCAGATGGGCTATTTTTATCCTTTTAAGACACATACACGCTCCAGCCCCCGCCACGCCCGCCCATGAGAGTCCGTCCAGTTGATGTTTTATGAGAAGACAAGAGCTCCAGGTAAGGGTGCTAATTAAACAGCTTCGGCCGTGGGCAGGAGAGAGGCTGGAGCAGACCTCCCCTCGGGCATGATGTCACCGCACTAGTGCGTTTCTCATGACCCAGGAATGTGAGTGTGTTTGCACTGCACGTTGAAGTCCATGATGCAAGCGCAGCCTGGTAAACAGGCCCCAGACAGGCAGGCCCGGCGAGGCCTGGCGGGGGCCCAAGGCATGCTTAACTCCTTCCTGGCAGAACTGGCTGGTGGGCTGCCCAGATTTGGCCAAGATGCCTTCTCACCTCAGCCCCCCCACCCCTTCTCTCGCAGGCGGGGCCCTTGGTGGGGAGGGGTTCGGGGATTCGGAGCCTCTCGGGAGACCTGTACTCCCACGCACCTGCGCCTTTTGCTTGCTCTAGAGCAGTGGTTCTCCACCTTCCTAATGCCGCGACCCTTTAATACAGTTCCTCATGTTGTGGTGACCCCCGATGTCATTGTTTACAAATGGAACATAATTAAAGAATAGTGGTTAGTCACAAAAACAACATGTAATTATATGTGTTTTCCGATGGTCTTAGGCGACCCCTGTGAAAGGGTTGTTCGACCCCCAAAGGGGTCGCGACCCACAGGTTGAGAACCGCTGCTCTAGGGCCTTGCATAGGGGACACCTCTGCCCTGAGTCTCAGTTTTCTCATCTGTACAATGGGGAGAGGAACCAGGCCTCGATCCTTGATCATCAGCTCCACAGTCCGGAAAACCTAGACAACCGAGGGCTTTTCTCTGTATTCGAAGAAAACACACGTGGAGGCAAGACCTGACCTGGACACGGACCGAGGCCATGTAGGACCTTCAGTCCACTTAGAGGCGATGCTCACACTCCTCACCACAGAAATAGCCATATGTTTGATTGGAGGTGGGTGGGCTCAGACCCCACTGGATCACCTTTTAACACCCTCCCCCCCCCAAGATTCTGAATTCTCAAACCCATCCAGCCCCTTGATCAGGGGCTGAGGGACGGGGCTTAGCTCTGACCCTACTGTGTCCCAAGCAGCCAGCTCAACGCCTGGCACACAGCAGGCGCCTAAGCAATAGTTGTTAAATTAACAGCTGAAATTATTCATACCCCATCAATGCCATGGCGGCAATTATGGGGAAACTGAGGCCCGGGCCGCTGAACTGGCCTGCCCTGTATCCTTTCCCACAGAGGGAGTCCCGACTTTCCCCAAAAAAGGGAGCTGCTCACATTTCCCCGCCGGCCGCTCACAAACAGCCTGGTGACCCCCCTCCCGCATTCCAGGGCGGCTTCCTCCCCGGCTGGCTGGTTTGCGGGCATCTCCCGAGTTTTCTTTGGCAAAAGGTTCTGATGATTAAAAAGGAGGGGGGCATGCAGAAAGCTAGGGGTCGGAAAGGAGTGGTCCCAGGGCAGAGTGGGGGTGAGGGGTGTCTGGGGAAGATGGGATCTGTTGGCCGGCCTGAGATGATGGACCAGATTCTAGGATCCCTCCAAGGACTGTGAATGTGTCAGCCAGGCCCTGCTTTCAGCCTAGGGCTGGAGACTTATCCAGACCCGTGCAGAGCTTCCAGGATGGAAAAGGTCTCCCCAGTATGGTCTGACCTACCCCCAACTGCTGTGACCCCAAGTAACTCCTTTTGCCTCTCGGGTCTTAGCGTGCTTGGAGAACCCAGCACCGTGGAGCAGAGCTGAGGGGAGAGACACAGGCTTGAGTCCAAGCCCAGACTCTTCCTCTTGGCTGAGTGGTGAGTTAGGACAAGTTACTTTTTCTCTCTGAGCCTCAATGACCTCATCTGCAAGATGGCACTGAGTTATAGGGGTGTGGTTCTGATGAACGTACCTGGCACATAATGAAGGAACGTTAGGTACCATCCCCCGTGGCCTGGATAGGCCTCCTGGTCTGATGTGCAATGACAATCTCATTGTCTCAGCTCTCTGTGTGGCCTTTGGACTGCCCCTTCAGTCAGTTTTCCCACCTGTAATAAAGACAAGGCCTCACCAGGACTGTAGTAAGGACAAGGCTTGGCCATGGATATTGGTTGATCAGTTATCTCCTGGTGCCTGGTCTGCAATCCTAAAGGGGCTTCTAGTCTGGAAGGAGAGACCATATGGAAAGTGCCTGGCACAGGTAGGTGCCCACTAGATGAAAGGATGGAAGGGTGGATGGATGGATGGATGGATGGATGGATGGATGGATGGATGGATAATGGATGGATGGATGGATGGATGGATGGATGGATGGATGGATGGATGGATTGGTGGGTGGGTGGATGGATGGATGATGGATAATGGATGGATGGATGGATGGATGGATGGATGGATGGATGGATGGATGGATGGATGGATGGATGGATGGATGGATGGATGGATGGATGGATGGATGGATAATGGATGGATGGATGGATGGATGGATGGATGGATGGATGGATGGATGGATGGATGGATGGATTGGTGGGTGGATGGATGGATGGACGGATGAATGGATAAATGGATGGAGGGATGGATGGATGGATGGATGGATGGATGGATGGATGGATGGATGAAATAAATGACTTACTCCAGGCCACAGAGTTAGGAAGGTACTTTTCCTGATACCTCACAATGGGCCCTGGAGGATGCAGAAGAACTGGTTTGAGAGAGAGGGGCACTCCACGTGCAGGGACTGCATGAGCAAAGGCTTGGGGTTAGGAATTGTTGTGGCTTGGATGAGACACTGTCCCATATCTTCTCTTTCAGTAACTTGCTCAACAAGATGGTAGAGGAGGGGATCTGAATGGAGGCTCTCCCAAGAGTTCTCTGGGGCAGAGCCAGGAGGTTGTGTAGGGAGAGGGCCCCAAGCCCAGATGAGCAGGCAGGAGCACGCCCAGGCTGCAGGCCAGGCCTTGGAGGGACTGGTCTGGCCATATTTGGTTTTCAAGGAACTTGGAGGGTTCTTGCTGGCCCTGCTGCCCATACACACAGGAGTGAGGCCACCCACAGTTACTGAATCAAGCAGGCAGCTGGGGTCGGAGCAGAGGCCCCACGATGGGGTGACTGTCACACAACTGTTCAGAGCCTGGCCTCTACAATTAAGACGATAAGGGTCCACCCTAGCTGGTTTGCTCAGTGGATAAAGTGTCGGCCTGTGGACCGAAGGGTCCTGGGTTCGATTCCGGTCAAGGGCACGTACCTTGGTTGCGGGCTCCTCCCCAGCCCGGGCCCTGGTCGGGGTGCGTGCAGGATGTGCTCCTCTCACACCCATGTTTCTGTCTGTCTTTCCCTCTCTCTTCCACTCTCTCTAAAAATCAATGGAAAAAATATCCTCGGTGAGAACGAACAATAAATAAATAAATAAATAACCCAAATATTAAAAAAAAAGAAGAATCAAGTGACTGAATAAGCTGTAACAAACAGTTCTAAATCAGAGCCTCTCCGCATGACAGGCAGGAGACCAGAACGGCTTTCTAAACCCATTAGCTCATCTCCCTCATATCAGGAGGCACCTCTGGCCTTAGCAGGAGCCAGGAGCTATGGGGGGAGCCAGGCCAGGGCCCTGGCCCGAGGAATCATTACCTGGCCAGAACTTGCCAGACTCCGGGATTTCACATCCTAGTAAAGTGTTCTTTGCAGATGGAACACACAATTGCCAACATTTTGTAATTTGTCAAAGTACATTAAAAAAAAATAATAATAAAGCACTACTTTCTACCGTCATCATAAAATTTAATAAGACTAATCTCAGAATTAACCAACTTTTTAAAAATTACCTTTATGGTCCTGGCTGGGTGGCTCAGGTGGTTGGAGCGTGGCCCCGAACACCAAAACGGTTGCGGCTCAATCCCCAGTTGGGGCGTGTATGGGAGGCAACCAATCAATGTTTCTCTCTCACTTTGATGTTTCTTTCTCTCTCTCAATCCCATCCTCTCTCTCTATAAAAGTTAATAAAAACATATCCTCGGGTGAGGATTAAGAATAAAAAGTTTCCTTTATAAGTAACTCACCACATTGTCCCAGTTTTCTCACTAACCCCAGGCCAGGGAGAATTTTATCTAGAACAGGCATGTGGCGATCTCCAGATGAGCGGGAGAGATAGAACATTTATGCAAATAACCCAGAGTAGCCATATTCATTTAGTGTCTTTGGGTTGAGAGACACATAAAACTATTCTGGCTACCTTAATAGCTACAGTCTACCAATAAAACTTATTACTGGTAATATTAACATTGATTCCTTGGTTAAGGTGTCTGCTGGGCTTCTCTGTTGTAAAGGGTCTCTTTGTAATTAGTAAGTACCTTGGGGGGTGATACTAAAGGCTATGCAGAAATACAGATTTCTCATAATTTCCAATTCTTTTTAAAAGTGCCATCAAATGTACACATTCTGCTTTTATTCCACAAACATCAAATGTTCACCCACCGTGTGCCGAATACCGGCCTAATGTGCACGGCTTGGCAACGTGCAGCCCTATGATCTTGCTGGATCTTAGGATCCTTACCTGCAAAATGAATATAATTATATCTGATGCCCTAGGCGGTTTGGTTCAGTGGATAGAGCATGGACCTGCAGACTAAAGCGTCCTGGGTTCGATTCAGGTCAAGGCCACATACCTTGGTTGCAGGCTCAATTCCGGCCCTGGTCAGGGAGCGGATGGGAAGCAACCAATCGATGTGTCTCTCTTATATCAGTATTTCTCTCTCTGTCTTCCACCTCCCTTCCACTCTCTCTAAAACTCAATGGAAAAATGTCCTTGGGTGAGGATTAGCTAACTAAATATACACACATTAATCTTAAAAATAATAATTATGATTCTATCTGACCACCCAGGGCTGCTGAGGAGAAAGGAGGGCCGAGCTGGTGAGCGTGTTCTGCTAACTGGGTTGTTCATTCTCCTTCCAAAGTGCCCAGCCCTGTCCTAACCTCCACCTATTGGCAGGCTCCCATGCCCGCAGGCGTCTGTCTGTCCTCCCTGGCCAGACTCCCCTTTCCTATGTGCCAAGCCTTGCTTGTGACGTCATTGAATACGTTTTGGAGACACTGGGCAAGCCTTGTGGAGACTGACCATTTCCTCCGGAGACTCTGCCTGCAATTTGGGGAGCTGCCTTGAGGCGCCAAGGGACGCCGGGCACCTGTGGGTGGCAGGCAGGCGATCCCTCCTCCCGTAGCAGAAACAAGGGGGAGAAGTAGGCACTGCCTTCCTCCAACAACGTTTTGGCCCTAAAAAAAGGAAACTCTTGGAACCCAGGGAGTGCTGAACAAGCCCAGACGGATACTTGTGTCCCACTGAGAGACCTAACACGGTCATACTTTAAAGTAACAATTTCAAAATCTGAAAAGATGGGCCCTCGCCGGTGTGGCTCAGTGGCTAGAGCATCGGCCTGCGGACCAAAGGGTCCCGGGTTTGATTCCCGTCAAGGGCATGTCACCTGGTTGCAGGCTCCTCCCGGACCTGGGCCCTGGCCGGGGTTCATACAGGAGGCAGCCATCAATGTGTTTCTCTCACATTAATATTTCTCGCTGTCTCTCCCTCTCCCTTCCATTCTCCCTAAAAGTCACTGGAAAAAATATCCTCGGGTGAGGATTAACAACAATAACAACAAAAAGTGAAAAGATGAGCTCGCCCCTGACCCAGCCTCCTAACTCAACAGCACTTTTAGTTTGAGAACCGGATGTGAGTGGGCCCAGAGGAAGGTACAAGTTAATCTCCTTCAATAACTCAGAAGAGGCTTTCAAACCTTACCCTGGGGGTTCCTCACTGCCCTCCCTCAATATTTTCCCACAAACAGACCTCAGGCTCCTTTTGACTGCCAGTCCCTCGCTCTCCTCCCGGCCCCTCCTCTGTCTTGTGCACCAATTAGCTGGTGACTAATTGCTCCTTAATTGTGAACCTGCTGGCCCATTCCCAGCTCCCACCCACACAGGCTGGCATGGGCATCCTCCAGGGAACGGCCTTGTGTGAGTCCCGTGGTTCACAGGCCCCACTGCTGTGGGTTGAACCTCCTCTTAGGATCCAGGTCTTGCTCTAGGCCCCGAGGACTCGGTCGGTGGTGAGCGAGACAGACTCAGTCCTTGCCTTCCCAGAGCTCACATCTAGCAGGAGCCAAACAGCAGCAACGAAATAATTTCAGATAATAGTGGGTATGAAAATAAATAAAACAAGGTAACACAGTACTGAGTACTGCTTGGCGCTTCCGACAGGTGCGCCGGGAAGGCCTCTCTATGGAGGTGACGTTGGAGTTGAGACATGAATGGTAATCAGGACCCAGCAGGAGTGAAGGTGAGGAGGCAGAGTGGTCCAAGCAGGGAGCAAGGCAAGAGCAAAGGCTGGGGTGGGAGGGGGGGGGGGGGAACCAGCATGGCCTGAGAAGCACTCATTGCATCCATTCAGCCCCCAGGGATTCAGGAGTCAGACATTGGGTTAAAAAGTTGGAGCAGCCCTGACTGGTTTGGCTCAGTGGATAGAGCATCGGCCTGCAGACTTAAGCGTCCCAGGTTCGATTCCAGTCAAGGGCATGTACCCTGGTTGCGGGCGCATTCCCAGTGGGGAGTGTGCAGGAGGCAGCTGATCGATGTTTCTAACTCTTTATCCCTCTCCCTTCCTCTCTGTAAAAAATCAATAAAATATATTTAAAAAAAAAAAATTTGGAGCAATGCCCTGGCCAGTTTGGCTCAGTGGATAGCGCGTCGGCCTGCAGACCGAAGGGTCCCAGGTTCGATTCCGGTCAAGGGCACATGCCTGGATTATGGGTTCAGTCCAATGTGCAGGAGACAGCCAATCAATGATTCCCTCTTATCATTGATGTTTCTATCTCTCTCTTCCTCTCCCTTCTTCTCTGAAATCAATAAAAATAAATTAAAAAAAAAAAAAGTTGGAGCAAAACATCCCTCCCTCTCCCTGTTGGCAGAGACTGGGGGTGGGGTGTACTCCTCCTGGACCTGCCCTCAGAAGGAGGAATTATTCATCTGATTAAGTCAGATTCCAGGGTCCTGATTGGTCCTTGCTGGTAATGAGGGTGATGTTTCTTCAAGGTCTCAAACTGCACAGTCCCGTTGGGGCGGGGGGGGGGGGGGGGGGGGGGGGAGCGGGGAGCTTAGGGAGGAACTCCCGGAGGGTCTCCTTCAGAGGAAGCGGCTGCCCTGGAGGAATCCACACCCAGGTTTGAGACCCCAGAAACACAAATTTGGATTGTCACATGAAATTTCCTGATTTTTTTTTTTTAACTGGGAAGGGGGTGGGGGGACCGGGAACAGGAGGGGGTGGGGCAGAGGGCGTGAAGGGTTCCTGGTGAAATTTCCTGATTTTTAAATGTTAACAACAAATTCAAAAAGATTTTTTTAAACAAAAAAATATATATTTTATTGATTTCAGAGAGGGAGGGGGAGAGAGAGAGAGAGAAAGAGAGAGATCAATGATGAGGGAGAATCATTGATGGGCCCACCTCTTCCAGATAAGCCTGGAATCCTAGCCTCCCAGGGGAGGGGCACAAAAATCTGGGTCTTGCTCTAACCTTTGGGAGAACAGGTTAGAAATCTTTCCAGAAATCTGAGGCGAGGGAACATCTTGTGCTTCAAGCCCAGAGAAGCTGTGACTGCAGTGACTGGGGCTGGCCCTCCCACATGAGATGGCCCTGAGGTCTATGGCTGTTGTGTGACCCAGGCATAGCTCACATTCCCTCTGCGCTGCAGTATCAGGATGCAAAGTGTACAGAGATAAGAGCTCAGCCTCTGGGATCGAAGCTCTGGGCCCAAATCCTCACTCCCTTGCTGATGGCCCAGGACAAGTTCCTTCCCCACTCCAGGCCTCACATTTCTCATCTATAAAACGGGTGCAAGAAAAAAGCCATCCCCCCCCCCATCCGCGGGGGGCTGTTGCGACAACTGAATGGGTGGATGCTTGATGTGAATGCATGCTGTAAATGACCCCAACGTGGGCTTAGTAGCTGGACAGGTGGCATCAGCATCATCTCAACCAAAACCCCATGTTTTATGTGTGTTAATCCTCCCCCGAGGATATTTTTCCATTGATTTTTAGGGAGAGTGGGAAAGACAGAGAGAAACATCCATGTGAGAGAAACATGTCGATTGATTGCCTCCTGTATGAGCCTCAACCAGGGCCCCGGCTCAGGAGGAGCCTGCAACCGAAGTATGTGACCTTGACTGGAATCAAACCCTGGATCCTTTGGTCCACAGGCCGACACTCTGTCCACTGAGCCAAACTGGCTAAGGCCAAAACCCCATTATACGGAGGAGAAGACAGAGGCTGGAGCCAGTGATGTGACTTGCCAAGGCCACACAGCTAGGGAGCAGTGATGTCCCCAGCATACTCAGGTCTGTCTGATTCCAGAAGCCCAAGTCGTAACCTCTCTAAAGTTAGAGGGTTCTGGGTTCGAGTTTCAACTCTGCCCTTTGCAGTCACAGGAGCTTGAGCTATTCCCTTTTTTCTCTGGGTCTTGTTTTTTGCCTCATCTAAACACATGACAATCTGCCCATGATGACTGATGTATTTTCCTCAAATGGGAAAATACACAGGAAGTGCCTAGCACAGTGCCCAGGATGGACATGTCTGTGGCCAGCAATTGAGGCTGTCCTAATCATCATCAGAGGCAAGTTGCTTAACTCTCTGAGCCTCAGTTTCTCTATCCATCAAGTAGGACTAATAGCAGTCTCATCTCACTGGTCGTAAAGAATAAATGAGTTACTGTGGGCTAAGCCTTAGCACAATGCTGCCCTTACTATTATGGGTGTTTTTTTTCCCAGAGAGGAAGGGAGAGGGAGAGACAGATAGAAACATCAGTGATGAGAGAGAATCATTGATTGGCCGCCCCCTGCAGCACCCCCCCCCACTGAGGATCGAGCCTGCAACTGGACTCAAACCCAGGACCTTTCAGTCTGCAGGCCAATGCTCTATCCACTGAGCCAAAGGGGCTAGGGCACTCGGTATTCTTTTTAAAGTTCTGAAACCTGTTGTAGGCCAGCATGAGACTACGGGGGACCCCAGTCCCCCCACTGGCCATGGCTCCAGGCATTGCCCTTGCTGCCAGTCAGCTATTATTAGGCCCCGAGTCCTCATCTTCAATCCAGATGGCGAGCCAGAGGGGCGGACAGGGCCGGGCCGGGCTGGGCCGGGCTGGTGGAGGGCTGGGAACAGGCTGGAAGGCGGGTTTGGGTTTGGGCCCCACCCTGCCTGCAGCCGGTCCAAGCTGCCACGTCTGCACTTGGCTCTGAGGTCGGCACCAAGCCCGCCTCCCACCATGGCCACCTCCTCGGGGAAGGTTAGCAGTGTTTCCACAGCCTCAGCACTTTTCTGCCCGCCCCAGGGAGGCCAGGCCTGTGTGGAAACTCTGAACTGGACACGGCTCGCCTCTGCAGCCTGCAAAGGGGCCGTGCCCTCTCTCGTCTCCTGGGGAAAGGGCCCACACAACTGGGTTCAAGTCCCAGCCCTACCGGCAACACGCTGTATCAACTTGAACAAGTGACATTTCCTCTCTGAGCCTTTTCTTTCTTTTTTAAATTGATTTCAGAGAGGGAGGGAGAGGGAGAGGGAGAGGGAGAGGGAGAGGGAGAGGGAGAGAGAGAGAGAGAGAGAGAGAGAGAGAGAGAGAGAGAGAAAGAAACATCAATGATGAGAGAGAATCATGGATCGGCTGCCTCCTGCACGCCCCACACTGGGGACGGAGCCCGCAACCTGGGCACGTGCCCTGACTGGGAATCGAGCAGCGACCTCCTAGTTTGTAGGTCGACGCTCAACCGTTGAGCCTCAATGGCCAGGCTGAGCCTTTTCTTTATCTGTAAAATGGATATAATCATAGCACCTACCTCACAGGGCTGTGGCGGTGATTCAGTGAGTGAATGGCACATAGTAGGCACTCAGTATGCGCCGGTTATTGTCACTTCGTGCTTGGGTGTGCCGCCTCCTGAGGGAAACAAGGGATTTAGGAAACTGGGGGCCTGGAGCGCAGAGTGGCTCCACCCCTACTTCTGCGCGACCTGAAGCCTGTGCCCGAGAAGGCAGGGACTCAGGGTACCTATTCGGACCACAAAGTGGGCACCTAGGACTCTATGGTGCCAAGATCCCGCTCCTGTGCTCACCAGTTCGATTCCCGGTCAGGGCACATGCTTGGGCTGCAGGCTCCATCCCCAGCGTGGGGCCTGCAGGAGGCAGACGATAGTGATTCTCTCATCATGGATGTTTCTCTCTCTCTCTTGCTCTCCCTTCCTCTCTGAAATCAATAAAAAATATATATTTTTTTAAAAAGAAATATGACAAGGCCCCATGTGGGAAGAGATTCCAAATGGTAGAGGGCAGGGTGCCAAGGGTTCTGGGTTCGAATTCTGTGTGAGGTGCTGGTGTGGCTTGGTCTCACTGAGCCTGTCTTCTCATTTATATGACGATAGTCCTACCTCACAGGGTTCAAGCTGTGAGGGTCACGATAATAACAAATAGCCACTCATATATTAGAAGGGTGATCAGGAGCCAAGTTCCAACCCAATGGACAGCAATTACGCGGGGCCCCTGCCATGAGTCTAGATGACATCAGGCATCAGGGAACCCCCAGAAATCACAAAAAATCCCGGCCCATAAGAACCCTGTCCTATGTCCAAGAGGGTGGCCTCTTGGGGTTCATCACAGCTCAGTGGGCGTCTCAAGCCCCCTAAGGTCTTCTTCCCAGGGCCCACGTGCCTCTGAGTTTCCTATATTGAAGAGCCACTCTGGCCTCGGCTGAGTAGCTCAGTTGGTTAGAGCATTGTCCCAATACGCCAAGGTTGCGGGTTCGATTCCTGGTCAGGGCACCTACAAGAATCAACCAATGAATGCATAAGCAAGTGGAACAACAAATGGAGGTTTTTTCTCTCTCTCTCTCTCTTAAAAAAAAAAAATCAACAGTCATTCCTTTCCCATCCCTCGGCACATGGGGCCAGCCCCCTTCTCCTCCTCCAGGCCGGAAGTTTATCTGGCACTGTCACTCAGAGGACACAGCAGCTGGATGACATCATGGAGGAGACCGCCTTGCCAAACTGGTTTTCCAAACAGGTCTCCAGCCCCACTCCTGGGGCTGCTGGCCATGACAGTAGGGGCCTCCAATTCTGCCTATTTGACGAGGGAGGCCCAAACCCATGGATCCAGCCAAGCCCAACAAGAACCAATTCTTCTCCTCTAGAGACCCCATGGCCTGCCTCACCTACCAGAGTTTTCCCCAACAAAGTCCTCACAGTCCGACCTCCCTTCCTTTGCCCATGCTGTTCCCTTCTCCATGCTGCCTCTCCCCATCCCCTCAGATGCCAAACAGCAAGTGAGGGCTTTGTTCTTGCCACCATTCAGACTCCACACACCACGTCTGTCTCCCTTCTGCCACTAGGCTATGAGACTCCAACAGCAGGACCAACCTGGATCCACTTCTAGCCCCTCCAACCCTCGCAATGCCCAGCAGCCCCCGGACTCCCTCATAGGCCCAAGGTCTTGGCCTTGGCTGACCTCACAGCCACTTGTGAGCACATCCCAAGTGGGGTCTCCCAGACAGTCCTGGAATTCTTTAAAAAAATATTTTTATTGATTTCAGAGAGGAAGGGAGATAGGGAGAGAGATAGAAACATCAATGATGAAAGAGAATCATGGATCGGCTGCCTCCTGCACGCCCCCTACTGGGGATCGAGTCAGCAACCCAGGCATGTGCCCTGATTGGGAATTGAACCCTGACCTCCTGGTTCATAGGTTGATGCTCAACCACTGAGCCACACCAGCCGGGCCAGTCTTGGAATTTTAAGGTGTCTAGTCTGGCAGGAACGGACTTAGAGAATTGAGGCCACAATCGCCCCATTGTGAAGATGAGGCAACTGGGGTTTCCATGGGACCAGTACTTAGCCTAGGGTGGAGCCACCCCTCCTGAGTCCTGACCCCAGGCCTGGGCTTTCCCTGCAGAATCCTGGCTGGGGAAAATGGGGCGTGGAGGGTGGGGGGGAGGGGAGAGCTCACAGGGTGATTCAGGGATCTGGCACTGCCAGCCTGGTACAATATTTATTCTCAAACTCAGGCACTGGAGCAAAATATTACCCTTGGCCCCCTGAGCTGCTCCAGCTACTCCCCCACTCTGCCAAGTCCTAGGTTGGACCTGGATGAATCCGGGCCCTTCCTGTTACACCCCCTAGCCCTGGGAGGGCCTGATGTGGGCCAGTCCAATTCCCCCATTTTACAGATGGACAGACTGAGGCCCAGGCCTCCCCAATGCCCATAAGGTATGTTCACCCTGCTCAGCTGGTATTCAGGGCACGTCACAGATAGAACCACCCCACCTCCATTTCTGCTCCATTGATGGCCCATCTCTCCTCCCTTTCCCATTTACATACAAACCTCCCGGCTTCTACTCACGCTGTTTCTCCTTCACAAATGCCCTTCCATGCCTTTCCCCCTCTATTCTGTGGGGTGGGTTTCTTTCCATCCTTCCTCAAGGATCAGTTTGCACATCACCTCCTCCGAGGAGTCTTCCAGGATTCCCCCTATCCTGGAGGCAGCAAGGTGGAGGAAAGGGACTTGGACATGGGCAGAACGCCACTCAAGTTTGAATGCCATTACCAGGCCAAGGTGCCCTCGCCTCCCAGAGCTTCTTCAGCTTCCTCCTCTGCAGAATCCGGGTCAACTTGCAAGAGGGCAACCCCTGTGTCTGACACGCAGCAAGTGCTCAGGAACCGCCAGGACCCTCCTCTCAGGATGTTTACGCGTCCAGGGCTGTGGCTGACGCTTCTCCAGCCGCGCACGGAACTGCCCTTTGATCTTTATTTCACCGTCAACACCATCCCGCCCCACCCCTTGCAGGGAGGAAGGGCAGAGGCAGGCAGGTAGGAGGACCCCAGCCCTGAGGGCTTAAGGTACCGAGAATTCCTGAACTTGTGTCAGATCCAACAAGTCCCGACTCAGACTCACCTGTGCGGTTCTTCCCAGCTTCGCAGAGGGGCGGAGCTAGCAAGAAGCAGGCCATTCATTCGAGCCTGGAGCTGCCCCTCAGGCAGCGGAGAGGTGTGCCCCGCCCCAAGGGGCTGTGCCAACGGGCGTGCGAGGTTTGAAGTAGGACCGAGTTGGCCTTGGAGGGCGCTGACTCATGCTACCAGGATAAGATGGCATCTGGGTCACGTCGAGAGGGTCTAGACGGGGCCTGCCCGGGGGAAGGGGGCCGGGCTGTTTGCTCCTCCTCCTGTGGGACCTGAACCAGTCCACGCCCCTCTCAGCACCTTGCTTTTCCCATGGGTAAAAAGGAGCCACCTGGAGAGGATGCGGGGGTGAAATAGGACACCTTTAAAACAGTATCCCAGCTGGTTTGGCTCAGTGGAGAGAGCGTCGGCCTGCGGACTGAAGGGTCCCAGGTTCAATTCCCAGTCAGGGCACCTACCTGGATTATGGGTTTGGTTTGATCCCCAGTGTGGGACGTGCAGGAGGTAGCCAATCAATGATGCCCTCTCATCATTGATGTTTCTCTCTCTCACTTTCCCTTTCTCTCTGAAATCAATAATATATATATATATATATATATTTTAAAAAAGAGTATACTGGACCTCTCTAAATACGGGTAGAGGTGGTAGAGGTGGGGTGGGTGTGTGGGTAGTCACAGAGGATCCTCTAGAGGTGGTAGATGGTGGGGTAGACATGGGGTGGCACCCAAGTCTAAGAACCACACCACACATAACCAGTCCCCAAAATGGCACAGAGATGGCATCAAGAAACCCCCGACCACAAAGTTTCGAATCTCTTAAGCGGGCAGACCCTAAGTTCCTGAGGAGCACGCGCTGTGCCAAGAAGCACAACAAGAAGAGCCTGAAGAAGGTGTAGGCCAACCATGCCAAGGCCATGAGCGCATGAGCAGAGGCCATCAAGGCCCTGGTCAAGCCCAAGGAGGTCAGGCCCAAGATCCCAAAGGGCGGCAGCCGTGAGCTCAGTGGACTTGCCTACATGGCTCACGCCAAGCTTGGGAAACGTGCTGGTGCCTGCATCGCCAAGGGTCTCAGGCTCTGCAGGCCAAAGCCAAGGCCGAAACCAAGTCCCAGGCTGCGGATGTGGCTGCAGCACAGGCTCAGGCTCAAGCTCAGGCTCAGCTGTGACGACAGACGGACTGATGTGATCCCTGGGCTCCTGTCTGCATGGAGCTGGTGTCCTCCTGTGCTATGTGTACAAATAAACCTGAGGCAGGATCTGCCTAAATAAATAAACAATAAAAATAAAATAAATGAGGTGATACTATTATTGTTTTTATTTGACACACAGGACACCAGACCCCACCTCCCAGGCTCCAACTCCTTTTGGTCTCCATGGAGACCGGTGGGAGGCTCCCGGGCCTTCAGCAAGGGCGACGGGGCTGCTTTCCCCAGTGGGTCTGAGCTCGGGGGGTCCCCTGGCTGACTCCTTGTGTAGTCTTGGGCATGTTGGCTTTCTCTGGGCCTCAGTTTCCTCCATTTGTTGAATGAGAGTCTGAACTCCATATTCCCAATTTTGGGGATCCCAACGCTGAAAGAGGCAGATCCTGGGGGGGGGGCGGGGGGCTTGGAAGGGAGACGCATGGCCGATGAGGGCAATGTCTGCGCAAAGATGTGGCGGCCGAGAGAGGGCTGCTGTGTGACTGATCCTGCTCCATCTGCGGGGGTCCCTGAGATGCGCCAATATGGGATCAAGATGCCGCCGATTACGCAGTCGCTCCTCGGAGGTGGCCCCGACCAGGTGTCCCCCAAAAGCAGCCTGGGGCCGGCGACCAAACCCAGCCACTGACGCGAGAAGGGGGAGGAGTCCAGGGAGAGGACGTGGTCTCAGGAACAAAGAGGAGGGCTGTCCCGAAGGCGCCGCGACGCGGGCGATCCCGCGCCTCTTACCCCGGCGCTGGGCGCCCTCCTGGACTTTGGCGCAAACTGCGTCCTCCGGCCGATGCCCACGCGACCAGCCGGGCCCCGGCGGCCGAGGTCCCACGACTACAACCCCCTACGCTACTGGCCCGCGAGGGGCGTGGCCGGCAAATTGAATTTCCCCAATGGGGCACGAGGGTGGGCGGGACCCTCCCCAGGGTTGGCTGGCGCGGCGGGGCGGGGCGGGGCTGGCCGGGCTGCTGGCGCGGCTGGACAGACAGCCCAGCCAGAGCCGGGAGGACGGTTGCGGCGCGGGCCTGGGATCCCAGGCGTCACGCCTTCTGCCTGACACATTCCTAGTCCGTCTGTCGGATCCCGAGCCACCTACCCTGACCTGAGCCCGCGCGCGGCTGGCGAGCCGGACCGAGAGGTGGGTGTGCGGACCTCCGGGTCCCGGAGTGGAACCGGGATCTCTGGGCGTGGGTTCTGGGACTCTCAGACCTGGGAGCCCCCGCCCGTCCGCGGGGCTTCTAAACCCTGGGATAAGGTTCGGAGGCCAGGAGGCTCCACCACCTCCACTGGGCGGGTGCGGGGGGGGGGGGGGTTGCAGACACTCCGGGGAAGTCCCCCACAATCGCCAGGAACCCAAAAGTGTGCGACAGAGAGTGTGGGCCAGCAGCGGGAACACCTGAAGAAAAGGACTTCCTACAATCCCCTGGAAGCCCTAGATTACGGATTAGGGACCCCTGCCCTCAGAAGTCGGGGGGGGGGGGGGCTCAGAGTGTCCACAGAACCTAAACCTGGTGATGGGTGGGTGACACTCTTGGGGGTGCGGGGTTTACCCCAACCTAGGTAGGTAAGAAGCAAGGACTCCAACAGAGGGAGGGTGGGAGGCTGACATCTGTGCGAGCCGACAGGGAAGGGGAAAGCCAGCAACTTGAACTGGCAGGGTCCAGCGAAACCAACAGTGTTGATTGGGACCCTGCCCACCACCCCCAGACCCATTCACCGGATTGGGTGACTCAACAAGTGACTGTTCTGGGGACCGGGAAGGGTTGAGTGAGGGATGAATCAACAAAATGGGGGAATCCTGGGGCCATTTCGGTCCCCATACATTAACTAAGCACCAGGCTGTGGACCCTCCGATGCAAGAAAAACATTGGGGCTGCAGGAGGGAGGAACGAGCTGCACTGGGGGGCTGGGCCAGGATGTAGGGGGCCCCTTTGATGGGTAATGATGGGGCAGAAGGGGGCTGTCCTGAGTCCCCAGGGGCACTTTGGAAGGCGTCTTCAGAAGCCAGAGGCGGCTCAGATTTTTCCCCTACCCTCTGGGTCTTTGGGATCCTCCTCCCCTCCCCCCTGGGGCAAATCCCGGGTCCCCTCTAATCCTCAGTTTGTCTAAGTCCAGAGGTTGGCTGGGTCAGTTTCTGAAGACCCTTCCGGCCGGGGAATTGGATTATAAGTGTGTGAATTTAGCAAAAGGAGCTGGGTGCCTGGACCCCTTGCTTCAGGGCAATTGGCATCAGGGGGACGGCAAAAAGGGGAGGCATGGAGAGGGGTGTTTACAGAGGGTTGTCCTCGGGAATTGAAAGACAGGGTGTTACCTTCAAGGCCTAAGTCACCGAAGGGAATGAGAGTGGCAGTAACAGCGAGGACTTGGATATGGGCTCAGCCCACAGCCAGAGGCTGAGCTTTTGGGGGGTAGTGGAGCTGGACAGACCCTGGGGATGGGTGGGTGGGGCAGGAAACTGTGGAGTCTGGTGAGCACCCCCTGGTGGTGATCACAGCTTGGGTGGGCCTTGCTGGGGCCCAGCTTCTCAATCCAGTACACTACTCTAGCAGAGAGGGCAACTCCAACCAGAAGCCACATCACAGGTAGCAAGGATAGGACAACAATGAATGATCATGGGTAAGAGGAGAAACTTTACCTATAAAATGGGAGGGGGGATGTGTGTGAGGCACTGGAAGAGACCCCCACAGGCCTGACTTATGTCTGTCCCCTGCAGAATTCCCTGAGCTGGTGTTAGGTGCCACAGGCACTGAGGATCTCACCAGGAGGGGACGCACGGAGCTAGGGACCAGCAAGATGGCGGACGAGGCCTTAGCTGGGCTGGATGAGGGCGCCTTGCGGAAGCTGGTAAGTGACCCCATCGTCCCCCATGTGAGGCCAGAGAGGCAGGGCCTACTAGGCTACCTCTCAGTGGACAAGAGGAGGTGATGGGGAGCGGGGAGCAGGAGGAGGGCTCACGGGAACAGGGCTAGGCCTGTTCCACATGGTTGATGCAGAGGCCCCTGTGGCATATGCCTGTCCGTGCCAGGTGCTGAGGCCTGATCCCGCCCAGCCCCCAACGGCTACCACCTGTTTAAACAGTAACTTGCTCAGGACTCACCCATATGCAGCCACAAGTGTGGGGAGGCTAGATGGGGCTCTTCCTGGCAACAGCCTGGGCAGTGCCCACCCCTGGACGCTGGCCCCATGATAAAGCAGCAGACGTGATTAATAATGCCAGGGCACAGCAGGGGGGGCGGGGGGGCAGGCTGGGTGCTGGGCACACCATCTCCCAGGATGGACACAGCAACTCTGAGAGCAAAGAGGACTCTGCCTCAGAGAAGTGAAATCACCCGCCCAAAGGCACCCAGCTGGGAAGAAGGTGTGCCAGGATCCAAACAAACCTCCAAGGGGACCCTGGAGAACCCGGAGTCCTGAGCAAGTCAACGCCGGAAGACCCTTATGAGCTGTGACTTCTAGTCTGTCATTTCTCCACTCTGAGCCTCCGTTTCTTTACCTATAAAATGGGAGGGGGATGTGTGTGAACCCAATATCTAAGTCTGAGAGTTGGCACGGGGATGGAGTGAGGCATGGGTTCAGATCTTGAGGCGGAAGGGTGGGTCCAATCTATCCCCTTTCCCCAGCTTCTTCCCGAGTACCCTAACCCCTGTCCCACACCCCACCACACACAAAGAGGCCGAGGGGCATTACAACAGGCCAGGCATGTGCCCACCAGCAAGGGCAGAGAGCAGCTGAACTGGATGAAGGACCAGAGCCCCATCCCTCCAGCCCCTGACCCTTGTCCGGGGAAGAAATTAAAGATTTACCTTCCCTGGGAGAAGGCAGGTGACCCACCCCACTCCTTCACCATCATTCCTCTGGAAGCAGGGGATGGAGCCGGCCAGCCCAACCCAGCCACTGGGCAGTGCCCAGCCGTTGCCAGGATCTACCAAGGCCTGTGTGCCCTCAGACCAGCAAACACCTTAGACTCGCCAGGTGTTTGCCAGCGCCGCTGCCCGCCGCGCGCATCCTGGAGGGGATGGGCTGGGTTTCCAAAGGTCAGTTCGACCTCCATTCAGGAAGTCGCAATGCTAATGGAGGTCGGCAAGGCCGAGCCTCCCAGAGAGAAATCCAGGTCCCCGCGCAGCTCCACCTCTAGTTCCCTCCGGGGCTTGGGCTTCTCCAGCCGCCACCCCCTCCACCCGCGTGGGATTTGGGCGCCGGAAGAGTTTCAGGGAAGCCGCCGCGTGGCTGTAGCCGGCCTACCCCCGACCCCCCTCCCCGGGAAGGGACTCCTAGGACCCCGCCCCTCATCCCTGGACCCTGAAGCCGCCCGAGGTCTCTGCCACCCGGGCCGGTGCCGCCACCGCGGGGCGCGCGCATAGCTTCTCCGCGAGGGTCCCGCCCCGCGCGCCGCCCGGCCTCGGCGGCCTCGTGGCAGGAACGGGGGCGTCCCGAGCCGGACTCCTCCCCGCCGGCCCGGGCCTTATAAGGAAAAGCTGGCCCCCGCCCCGGCGTCGGGCCGATTCGGGGACCCGGGAGCCGCTTCCGGCCTGGGCTCCCGCACATTCCTGCGGCCGGGCGGGGACGGGAGCTGGATGGGGGCACCTAAGGACGCCGTGGTCTCGGGTTCGAGCTCGGACTCCTTCACTCACTCACTAGGCCTGGGGGAGCTGCTTGCAATCTGTGAACCTCGGTTTCTTCCCGGTGGTGGAGGCTATGAGAGCAGCCGTGCCCTGCTGGTGTGGTTCATTGGGTAGAGCGTCAGCCTGCAGACTGAAGGGTCCCGGGTTCGATTCTGGTCTAGGGCATGAATCCCCAGCCCCAGTTGGGAAGCGTGGGGGAGGCAGCCAATCCATGTGTCTCTCTCTTCCTCCCCGCCTTTCCACTCTCTCTAAAAGAAAAAAATCAATGGAAAAATGCCCCCGGGTGAGGGTTAACCAAAAAATAGCCGGTATCGCGGTATTTCCCGTCTGCCTCCCCCTGGGCGCCTAGTGCGGGGCTGGGGGCGGGGCGTGAGGCTGGATGGGGGCGTGGCCTTGGGAGGATCGGCGGCTCGGGAGTCTGCGGGCCTCCAGCGCCCCCTGGCGAGGCCCCGCTCCACGCCAGCGGGTCCCCCAGATGGGAATGAAGGAAGGCCCAGTGGGTCTTCCCCCTTGTGCTAGTGGGGAGACGCCAGGGCCTGTGGGGTGCCCCCAGCAGCGAGGGCAGAAAGTACTCAGAGGCCCGCCCCCTCCCCAGGAGGAAGCGCCCTCCTTCCTCCCCGGAGAATTTCACAGGGCAGGTTCGGAAACGCCCCATCCCTTTCCCCTTCCCCCTGGTGGACAATGGCGCTTTGTACTTCCTTCCCTCCCTCCCACGCCCCCTCCACACGCAGCAGTGGGGCCAGCGGGGCCCCCAGTGCAGGACACAGCAGGGACACTGTGGGCGGATCTTGGCCTCCAGGCCCAAAGGAAGGGTCATGTTGGAGGGTGGCCAGTGGAATGAAGTTGTTCATCCCCCAGCCCTGCCCTACCCACTTGTGGGGGTGAGGGGGCTCAAACGGAGGCCCCCGTTTTCCAGATGAGGACACTGAAGTTCCCAGGTGTTGCAGAGGTGGCCAAGTTTGGGCTTTTTTTCAGAGACAAGGACCCCACCTCCGGAGGTCAGGGCTTTGCGAAGGGTGACCCAGAAGACAAAGGGCTAGTCATTGCATCTAAGCTTACTTATCTCCGCATTGGGGGGGGGCTGGATCCGCTCTTTTCTGGCCCCCACCTCCAAGTGTACCCCAGAGGGCTCTGTGCCTGAGGCAAGGCCAGGACTGGGAGGTGGGAAGGTGAGCTTCATTCTCCCTCCCTCTGCTATAACAGCCCCTCCCCCTTAGACCTGTTACAGGTATCTCTAGTACAGGCTAGAAGGGGACCCCAACACAGTGTCAAGGCCCTCAAGGTACCCCCCGTGGCAGACAGACCCCAGCAACAGACCTATCCTCAGCCCAGGGCAGACCCTGGAGTCAGAGAGACCTGGATTCAAATCCTGGCTCAGATCATTTGACCATAAGCAAATCGCTTCTCTTCCCGGAGCCTCAGTTTTCCCATCTGTCAAAGGGGAGTAATAAAGTGCCAGGGTTTCTGTGAGTTTAGGACAAGTGAGGGGCTCAGCACAGAATCCGGCATACAGATTCTTCATAAATATTCCCGATACCTGGGTGTCTTGTACTCATTTGCCCTCAGTTCTCCCTCCTCCTGAGTGTCTGGGGGGTAATACTCACTGCAGCCGAAGCTGTGGCAGGTGCGGGGGTGGGGAGACTCGCTGTCCCCATCCCCACTCACCGCCCTGAGTGAGAGGCATTGTTCCATCCGGCCCATGAGAAAACCAAGACACAGAGGTTAAGGACATGCCCCTGACCACCACGCCAGGACCAGACTGCTAGAGTCCGCTGGGAATTCCGGCCTGACCCTGACCCCCCACAGATTCCCAGGAATGTGGAGCCTGAAGGAACCCAAAGTGACTCTGTCCCAGGGTTTCACCTGCTCTGTTCAGATTGGGACAAGTGAGCTCATGGCTCAGTTGGGCCAGCCCACACTCCCTGCTGAAACCTACCCCCCACACCCCATCTGGCTCCACCATGGAGAAGGAAGGCATGATCAGGGAGGAGGCTAGAAAGGAAGGTGGGTAGAGGGCCCTACTCCTAAGGCAGTGATGGCGAACCTTTTGAGCTCGGCGTGTCAGCATTTTGAAAAACCCTAACGTAACTCTGGTGCCGTGTCATATATAGAAATTTTTTGATATTTGCAACCATAGTAAAACAAAGACTTATATTTTTGATATTTATTTTATATATTTAAATGCCATTTAACAAAGAAAAATCAACCAAAAAAATGAGTTCGCGTGTCACCTCTGACACGCGTGTCATAGGTTCGCCGTCACTGTCCTAAGTGATTTGGGGGTGGGGGCAGAGGGAATCACCCGGACTGTACTTGTTCCCATTTGGCTCAGACCCACACTGGAGGCTTGTCTCTGCCATTATCTTCCTGGGGGCCCTGGGGCAAGCACCGTGGGGGGCGGGGGGAGGCCACAGGATTGGCTGGCTCTCCCCAGAGAAGGGAAGGTGCCCTTTCCTAGACCTGGTTAGACCAGCCACCCCAACTTCCCAGGGACTGAGGGGGTCAGGAGCCTGTGGGAGCACCTGTCGTCCCTGGACACCCGGGGTGAACTCTAGTGCATGCACTGGAGGGCCCTTTCACCCCTTCAATGGTGGCGAGGCCTGGCCAGTGCAGGGAAAACAATAGCCCCTGCCTCAGTTTCCCCATCTGTCCAATGTGGGTGAGGCTGCCACCCCCAGCAGGACTGTGGTACTTTGGGGCTAGACAATGGGAGTCTCTCTTGCTCAGCTGCCTGAATCAACCTTTCTTCCCCAGGGACACTGTTAGGGGCCCAGAGGATGGCCTCCCTCCCCCTCCTCCTCCCATAAGTCCCTGGCTCTCAGGGGTTTGATGAGTGCCTCTGAGAGGCAGGAGTCAAAGGAAGGCGTGCCTGGCTTAGCACCTGGCCCAGGTGGCCAATTGCTGGCTGCCCACTCTGTGAATCATGGCGGGCTGTCCAAAAGCCCAGGCTTCGTGAGCTGGGCCTCCCCCAGACCTGCTGGGTGGGTGGGCGAGCGGGCACGTGACAGGCCTGGGGCAGCGGGTGTGGAGACAGATCACTCATTGTGCCACAGGCCGAGCCGTGGGCAGCCGGTGCCCGCCCTCCACCCCTGGCAGCCAAAATGACCTGCCCCTCGCCCCCGCCTGCCCTACAGTTGGAGGTCACCGTGGATCTGGCAGAGCGGCGGCGCATCCGCTCGGCCATCCGGGAGCTGCAGCGGCAGGAGCTAGAGCGAGAGGAGGAGGCCCTGGCATCCAAACGCTTCCGTGTTGAGCGGCAGGACAACAAGGAGAACTGGCTGCAGTGAGTGTGTGTGTGGGGGGGGGGGGGGGGGCGTGGACATGCAGGTGCGGGGAGCATGTGCCAGGGCTCAGCTCAGGTGGTGCAGGCAGGCACATGGGTGTGAACATGGCAGTACAGGCGGAATACACAGGGATGTTTGTGGGCATGGACCACATGCCAGTCATGGTGTCCCGGCCACGCCCATGTGGACAGCATGTCTGAGTGTGTGACATTAGTGCTCACATCCACGGGCATGCATGCACCAGCATGTAGCCAAAGGGTTTTCATAGCTCCATGCCCCTCTGCCAAGGTTCTGGGTACCCTGTCCTGGCCCCTGCCCTCAGCCCACACCCTCCATGACCTGGCCATGGCAGTGGGAGTGACGGGCCTGCTATCCCTGCAGCTCTCAGCAGCGAGAGGCCGAGCAGCGGGCTGCTCTGGCGCAGCTGGCAGGGCGGCTGGAGTCCATGAATGATGTGGAGGAGCTGACCGCGCTGGTGAGGCCCAGGCCAGGGCAGGGGCTGGGGGCAGGGCAGGTGAAGTCCTGGACTCCATGGCCCAATCCCTGTGGCCCGCCTCTCACCCACAGCTGCGAGGGGCCGGCGAGTATGAGGAACGCAAGCTGATCCGGGCTGCCATCCGCCGAGTCCGGGCCCAGGAGATCGAAGGTACGTGCCCGTCCTGCCCCTCTCCGCCCCGTGCCCCTGCTGCCCATAGCACCACCCGGCCACTCACCTGAGAGTTTCCCTCTCTCCCTTAGCGGCCACCTTGGCTGGGAGGTTGTGCGGTGGGCGTTCCAACAGTGGCTCAAGAGAGGACAGCAAGGGGCAGGCCGCACAGAGGCTGGAGCGGTGTGAGGTAAGAGGCGGCCAAGGTGCGAGGAGGGCCCAGGGCCCTGTGCTCGCAGATGCCAACAGCCCAGAGCACCTGCGTCTTTGCTAAACTGGTACTTGACTGAAAAGGGCCCCCAGCAGAGTTTGGGGGACACTAGGAGTCTATCTCAAGGCTCTGCCCACTCTCCCAGGCACCCTCTGGCCATATGTCCCCCCCCCCCCACTTCTCAGTTGTCTATACCCAGGCCTTCTCCCCAAAGCCAGCCTGCCCGCACTGCTCCCAGGTTCCTGTCCGTCTCCCATTACCACCCTCATTGACCTCCCTGCTGGCTTTCCACCCTCACGCCAGCCATTCGGCCTCCACTCAGCACACAGGGGATCCCCCCAAAATGCAATCTGAGCCTGGTACCTCCCCAGCTAAAACCTATCTTGCAGCTGCCCCTCCCCCTCCAGACAGCCCACATCCTTACCTTGGCCTATAGGGCTGGCATCGCGGGCCCGAGCTAACTCCTGGAGCACTGAGTGGACTCTGTTCTCCAGGGCGTGTGGGGGAGAGGTCAGGCCATGAAGGTTCCCTAGGCGGCTAGCAGAGGCAGCTGGGTCCCTGGCAGGACACCCACCCTCCCCGCTGACTAACCAGGTGGAGGCCAGTGTTCAGGGACTCCACTCCAGGGATCGAATGAGTCTGGGAGTCTCCTGTCGGTTCTGGGCCGGCTGTCCCCACCCCCTGGCATTTGGATGTGGGTTCTCTGAACTGCCCGTGACTAGGCAACACCAGGGTGTTGGGAAGGAGGGTCAGGGCTGCCCATAGCGTGTCAGTGCCCACGCTGGTGCCAGTGGGTCTGCAGGAAGCCGTGCCCGGCTCCTCTGCTTTGCATGCCCTGCCCTGAGCACCTGCCAGCCAGGGAGCCTTGGCTGCATCCTGTGGGTCCTCCACAGGCGCCAGAGCCAGAGGAACGGGAGCAGCGGGCAGAGGTCCCAGAGCCACCCCCCGAAGTCACCAGTCGGGATGTGACCACCGTGACGCTCCTGCTGCAGGTGCCCCCTGGGAGCACATCCAGCTCCCCTGCCTCACCTGACAATTCCCCCCCCTCCGCCTCTCCTGAGCCTCCGCCAGAGCCTGCCGAGGCCCAGGGCCCTGCCGCTGAGGCTCTGCGTAGCCCCAAGCCACCCCCCAGCCCACCCAGGGCCGCCAGCCCACCCACGGCCGCCAGCCCTGAGCCCCAGGAGACTGCAGCCCCCCACAGCACTGAGAGACAGGAGGTCAACGAGGTGAGTCTGGATGACGGCGAGGGATGCCAGGCAGGTGGGCTCCTTGGTCTGCGAGTCAGGCCCTCCCCATGCCGTGTCTCCCCTACAGCTCCTGCCTGGCCCCACAGAGCCCCCTGCGGCCCAAGGCCCCATCAAAGGCCCTTCCAGCACAAAGAGAGCAGGTGAGGATCCCAGCAAGGGGAGCCGCAAGCATCTGCCTTCCCTCTCCCTGGCCTCTCTTTCCCTGCCTGTGAAATGGGCTCTTGTGCCTAGACAGCTGCAGCCTCCTCAGGTCCAGGCAGTCCCTGACACTCCTCCCACTGCCCCTGAGGTGTCCCCCCCTCCCACCCATGGCCAGAGGCCTCCCTGCAGCCTTGAAAGGCAACGGGCCTCGGGCACATTCTTTTCCCCAATAAGGGAGTGCGCCCATCTCCCAGCTGCAGCGTGGGCAGTGCTGGCCAGAGGGGGTGTCCTCCATCCCCATCTGCAGGGAGGATCTGGGCACCCTTGCTCCCGCCCAAGCCTGGCCCCAGCCCCCGGGAGTGTCCAAGTCATCCTGGGGTCAGTGCAGGAACGGGGGGGGGGGGGGGGGCGCTGTAAGAGAGAGGCCAGGAGCTGTGGGAGGTGCAGGGAGGGGTTGGGAGGCTGCAGACATGTACAGGAGAGGGCTATGAGAGGTGGACCCCCATCCACTCTCCTTTCTCTTCCCCCATGTGGCTGCTTCTGCCTCCTGATACCGTCAAACCCAGCTGGACCCCACCCTAGCCAACGCTCCGTGCTCAGCCCCCGCCAGCCGGCCCAGAACCGAGGTACTGCCTGTTCCACTACCCCAGGCTCTGGGCAGTCCCTGTGCCACCCAGCCACTGACAGCCCTCCTGCCCCTTCTAGAGCCCACCCCTCTTGCCAGTGGACCTCCCTCATTCCAGCGGGCCGGCTCCGTGCGGGACCGCATGCGCAAGTTCACGTCTGATTCTCCTATGGCTCAGGATGGCCCACCTCGGGCAGCCCTAGGTCCCTCGACCCCCGCAAGGCTCCCGGGCTCCTCCCACGTCAGCACCACCCCTGCCTCCTCCTCCAGCCGCTCCTCCGCACGGAGCTCCAGTGATACCTCCTCCCGGTTCAGCAAAGAGCAGCGAGGAACAGCCCAGCCCCTGGCCCAGCTTCAGAGCTGCCCCCAGGAGGAGGGCCCCAGAGGGCGGGGCTTGGCTGCCAGGCCCCTTGAAAATGGAGCAGGGGGGGCCGGGGCCTGCTCAGAGGAGCCCGGTGCCCTGCTGCCCGTGGCTGTCGGCACTGCCGAGCCAGGGGCCAACATGAAGACGACATTCACCATTGAGATCAAGGATGGCCGTGGCCAGACCCCCACAGGCCGGGTGCTGCTGCCCACAGGCAGCCAGAGGGCAGGTAGGCCTCCCCGCGGCTGGAGACGAGTGCCTGCAGCTGCCCAGCCCTGCACCTCCGACAGGTGCTGCGGCCAGGGCTCAGGGTGTCTCCAGAGGGGGGTTCTGGGAGCGAGGGGGATGTCATCCACCGGGGCTGCCGCTGTCCTCACCGCCCCTGAGATCTACAGTAGCCTCTCTCCCCTTCCAGAACTGACGCTGGGGCTGCGGGCACCCCCCACCCTTCTCAGCACCAGCAGTGGGGGCAAGAGTACCATCACCCACATCAGCGGCCCTGGGACACCGGCCCGGCTGGGCACTGTCACTCACGTCACCAGCTTCAGCCATGCCTCTCCCGGTGGGCAAGGAGGCCGCAGCATTAAGGTGAGCCCTTCCTCACCCCTCCACCATCACCAGCCACCTCACAGAGACTGCTTCCGGGTCCAGGGCTGGAGGGTTCCTCTATCCGCTCCTCTCCCATGGTGCACGTGGGAAACTGAGGCCCAGAGAGAGAAGGCGGCTGCCCACAGGCCACAGCCAATTGGTGGCACAGCTAAGGCCAGACCCTAGCCTCTCACCCACTAGATGTCTCAGAAAAGTACTCTGTTTGCCTTAAGCTTCCCACATGCTGATCTCTGATCCTTCCTGCAAAGTTGGTTGGTTTGTTCCTAATGAACAAACGGGAAAACTGAGGGGCAGGGAGCGTGGCACAGGCGTGCCCCCTCTTCCTGTGACGGCTCCTACCCCACACTGGACCTCAGCTCTGAGGTTCAGAGCTGCTCATCTGCTCATCCAAGATCAGCCTGGCCCTGTAGAAGATTGGAGATTAGCGATTAGCATCTGCGTCAACATTTCAGGGGGAGGGGGTGCTGGGCAGAAGCACTGAGGGGGGACAGATAGGCGGGGGGGGGGAGGGGGGCGCCAGTCAGGTGAGGCAGCAACCTAGCAGGTGCCACGGGAATTGAATCCCTTGCACCCTTCCATTATTCATCCCCGAGCCTGGGATCAGCTGGCTGGGGGCTCCGCTGGGGAAGGAATCCCCAGCAGGCCACTCGGCTGCCCAGGTAATGCCCTCCGTGCTGCACTGCGGACTGAATGGGACTTTGGCGGAGGTGAGGTGGCTAAAGCCAGCTTTGGGCCTTCTCAGGGGTGACCGGGAGAGGATGCGGGGGCGAGAAGGCAGCCTTCCCCCATAGAGCAGGGAGCGAGGGGGGGGGGGATGGCTGAGGCCCTTGGGGTGGGTGGGAAGTGTCACAGTGAGCCCTGGGTCTGATACCACCACCTCGCCTCAGTTTCCCCGTCTAGAACCAAAGGAACGCAGATAACGCGCCTATAGTGTACTTGCTCAGAGTCTGTGGTGGATCCAAGTGCCTATCTCAGGGAGAAGGCACCTGCTACAGCAGGTTGCTCAACATCCTGCCTTTATTTCCCGCATCTGTTCAAGGCTTTCTAAAGCAGCATGGCATGAGGGCAGAGGGGTGCGAGCTCTGGAGTCCAGCAGACTGGATCCTCGCAGCTAATGCACATGGAGGCCCAGGCAGGCCCCTCCCTTGCTCCTGGCCTCAGCTGTCCCACCCGGGGGCCGGGGACCCTGGCCTCGGGCACCCTTCCCAGCCCGTGCGCACTTGCTGGGCTTCGGGTGTGATTTCTGCAGGGCCAGGGCCAGGCCTAGCGTCCAAGTGCCGAGGCGGGCCACCCCTCCCCCAGGCCCCTCCACGGGCAGCTCAGAATAGGTTTCTATTTGGGCTGCAGCCCCAGCTGGCGGGTGCAGGGCTGGGAGGCCAGCAGGGGCGGGGCAGGCCCACTGCCCTTGCCTTCGCCCTAGGACCAGCTGCAAAGACTCTGACATACCAGCCAGAGGCAGCAGTCCCGGCCACTGTCCCCATCGTCACCCCACCATAGAGCCCCCGCCAGCACCATGCCGGGGGTCCCGGGGCCTGCGTCCGAGCTGACCGCAGCCCTGGAGGAACGATTGAGCCGGGCCTTGGAGGAGCTGCGGGCAGTGGCTGAGGCCGGCCGGGTGGCGGTGACCCAGGCAGCCGAGGAAGCCGTCTCGGCCGTGGAGCCCGTGGCCCGGGCCACGGAAGAGCTGCGGGCAGAGACGGCAGCGCTGAGCCGGCGGCTGGATGCACTGGGCAGGCAGGTGGAAGTGCTGAGCCTGCGGCTTGGGGTCCCCCTCGTGCCCGACCTTGAGCCTGAGCTGGAGCCCAGTGAGCTGCTCCTGGCCGCCACGGACCCCGAGGCCCTGTTCCAGGCGGCCGAGGATGCTGGGACCCCGGTGGCCCACCCGCCTGCCTTCAGCACCCGCCGCCGCTCCTCTGCTGGTCCTGCCCACAGCAGCAGCCTCGTAAGTCCCTATGGGCCGGGGGGCGGGGAGGCTCCGAGCCAGGCTCTGCTTCTGCTGAGTGACCTTAGGTGGGCCACCACCATCTCTGAGCCTCAGTTTACCTATCCATACAAGGGGCTGAGGCACGAATGCTCTAAGACGGAGGCGAGAGGGTATTGGGCTCCTGGCCCTGAGGCACTCGTGGTGGCTTCCCCGGCAGCCCCTGGCCAGGGCCCAGCCCCCAGCTTCACCCCCACCTCCTGCCCCAGTCAGGCCGAGCCTCCCTGAAGCAGCTGCCACCTCAGCTCTCCTTACCCTACAGCAGACAGCGAGGCCCTGCCAGGAGGGGAGGGGCCGTGATCTGGGCTGGGGAACTTGTGTGCAAGGGGCTAGGGAGATACCCTGGGTTGAGGCTGGAGGCCCCTCAGAGGGTGGTTCCCAGTGGGTGGCAGAGAGGACTTGGCTCTGGGCAGCCCCAGGCAGACACCTGGTCAGGAGCCTATGGGCCCTGATCCAGCCTCCTCGGTGTGTGTGTGTGTGTGTCGGGGGGGTGTAAGTGCCGGGGGTGGAATGTGCTGCCTGGGCACTGGCCCAGGAGTTCCCAGGCCTTGGAAACTGGCAGGACAGAGCACAGCCTGCCTAGGGCTGGCAATGAACCAGTAGAAAGAACTCAGGTTCAAGCATTAGGCTAGTTTTAGCTCAGGCCCCATTGCTGCGTTGCGCTCATAGACAAGTCATTCATCTGCCTTGAGCCTCAGTTTTCCCTTCTGTTAAATAGGGACAGTAGCCCTCACTGGTTTGGCTCAGTGGATAGAGCTTTGTCGATTTGCAGACTGAAGTTCTGGGTTCGATTCCAGTCAAGGGCACATGCCCAGGTGGCGGGCTCCATCCCCGGTAGTGGGCCCAAATCCTACAACAAGGCTCTCAGTGCCTCTTCCCTGAGCCTGACACCAACATGGCCATCCTCGGGCAGGCAGTCTGGCTGGCTAGTGGCTATTTCCAATGCTGTGCCAGCAGCCCCAGGGCCTGGCGCCATGTCCATGGGGGCCATGTTGGTTTTAGCCAGTCCCCTGCTTAACGTCCATGCCCTCTCCCCCCTCCCCAGATGGAACCAAAGCCAGCAGAGCCCCCCTCTGCTGCAGTGGAAGTGGCCAATGGCACTGAGCAGACGCAGGTGGACAAAACACCAGAGAGGCGGAGCCCACTGAGCACCGAGGAGCTGATGGCCATTGAGGATGAGGACATCCTGGACAAGATGGTACAGCCAGATCCGGTGGGATGGGGGGGGGCAGGGGCAGGGGCCAGCAGGCACCAGGTGGGCAATGACCAGGGCTCTATCTGCAGCTGGATCAGACGACGGACTTCCAGGAGCGGAAGCTCATTCGGGCTGCGCTACGTGAGCTCCGACAAAAGAAGAGAGGTAGATAGATAGCCAGCTGCCCCACCAGACCCAGCTGCTCCCTTCCCCAGCTGCTCCCTCACCCTGGAGTCCATTCGTGGACACACCAGCTCAGTAACCGTCCTACTCAGCTTCTTCTGTAGACCCAGCTGTTCCTTGGCCTCCTTTCCCCAGCTGCTCCCTTCCCTAGCTGCTTGTCCCCACCCCCACCCCATCTCTCCAGTTACTGTCCCCAACCAGTTTCTCTTCTCCTTCCTAGACCACGTTACTCTCTCTCCCAGCTACACCTCCTTAGATCCAATTGCTTCTCTCAGTCCTGTCAACCACTCCTTCCCTGAATCCAGATACTCCTTCTCCCAGCTGCTCCTTTCTCCTTGAGGTCCACTGATGACCACCTTAGTCTCTACTCCCACCCAGCTTCCCCTTCTCTGGGCAAAGCTACTACTTCCTCCATGAACCTAGCTATTGTTTCCCTCGGATTCTAGATCCATGTGCTTCTCCAGACACTCTCAATGACTCCCTCTCTGAGTCTAGCTGCTTCCTCCACGGCCCACTGATGTCCACTCAGCCTCTGTCTCCACCCACCGACTTCTTCTTTGGGCCCAGTTACCCGTACCTTTGCCACCTTCTCTCCCAACCACTGTTACCCTGGATCAAATCGCTTCTCAGGCACCTCCAATTTCTCCCTCCCTGGATCTAAATATTTCTTCCTCTAGCCTTCTCCTCCTGGTTAAGACCCATTTGAAGGCCCACTCAGCTACGGCCCTCACCCAGTTTCTCCTTCCCTGGACTCTGCTCCTCCCTAGATCTAGATACTCCCTCCAGACTCAGCTACTGAGTTCCCTAGGAACTCCCATTTTTGGATCCAAATACTCCTCCTGTGAGCTCAGCTCTTCCATATTCCCTTGTTTCTTCTTGAGCCCATCACCCCCATCCCACACGCCCCCCCACTCCCTGCCAAATTATGGCTGCTCCCTCACCCCTAGCCACTCCTTTACCCCGTGTCTTCAGTATTTCTAACAAGTTGCCCTCCCCCCCCCATTTTATGTGCCCTGTGTGCCCCTGCGTGTGTGCTGTGTGGGTGATGGGTGGCCCTTCCGGGCATGCACGGGGCATCCCCTGCCCAGACCAGAGGGACAAGGAGCGGGAACGGCGGCTGCAGGAGGCGCGGGCCAGGCCAGCGGAGGCCCGGGGCAACGTGGCCACCGAGACCACCACGCGGCACAGCCATCGGGCAGCCGACGGCTCAGCTGTCAGCACTGTCACCAAGACCGAGCGGCTCGTCCACTCCAGTAAGGAGCCAATCGGGGCTCAGGGCGGGGACACGCTTACCTCCCTGGCCCCTGTGCCGCTCACATCCTTCCTCTTGTCCCTGCCCTTCCAGATGATGGCACACGGACAGCCCGCACCACCACGGTGGAGTCGAGTTTCGTGAGGCGCTCGGAGAGTAAGGCCGCCTGGCGACGCCCTGTGCCTACCTGCCCGCCCGCCTCCTCAGGCTCTTCCTCGAACTCTCTCTTCGTATTTCTGTCTGTGTGTTTCTCTGTCCAGTTGTCATTTTCTCTTCTCTGCCTGTGGCTACTGCCATTTCTCCCCAGACCTCCACCCCATCTCTTCACGTCCAACCTGGGCCTCACCCTGCTCTTGTTCCCTTTTCTTGCAGATGGTGGTGGCAGCACCGTGGTACAAACCAAGACCTTTTCCTCCTCATCATCCAAGAAGATGGGCAGGTGAGCACAGGTACCCACGCCCAGACCTCAGAGAAGTCAGCATCACAGGGACCTCACTGCACACCCATTCTACAGAGGGGTAGACTGAGGTGCTGGGAGGTAATAGGCTAGAGTAAGAATCAGACCGCTTCTGCTTGCCTTGTAGTCTCACCTAATCCTCAACTGCATCTCAGGGGAGGCCAGAGACTTGTGCTCCGGGTCACACAGCTCTGAGTGGCACCAATAGCACTGAACTATCTGCCACACTGAGCTGCCCGGTGGCACTGCCACTTCCTGGTGTCTGCCGACCACATCCCATGTCACAGAGCACCCGTGAGGGAGGAGGACACCCCTCTATCTATGTTACAGAGATGTCAGGGCTGATAGAAAGCAGGGACAGGAATCAGGATTCAGGCTGGGAACCAGAGGGGTCCAGGGGCTGAGTCAGAGAGACCTGGGTCCCCCAGTTCCTGCGCTGTCCGTCAGGCCCTCTGACATCTGAGGACTGGGTCTTCCGTTTCCTCACACTAGTATGAATGAGAAGGGTCCCTCTCTTCTCTTGTAAAGATTTAAGTGGCACATTGGAGAGGCTCAATAGACATGTGGTATTATTCTTTTTTAACCCTCATCTGAGGGTATTTTTTCCATTGATTTTTAGAGAGAGTGGAAGGGAGAGAGAGAGAGAGAGAGAGAGAGAGAGAGAGAGAGAGAGAGACCGATGTGAGAGAGACACATTGATTGGTTGCCTCCCGCATGCCCCCAACCAGGGCTGGGAGCCTGCAAGCTAGGTACATGCCCTTGCCAGAATAGAACCCGGGACCCTTCAGTCTGCAGGCCGACATCATGAACTATTGTTATTGTTACCATTACTATGATGCCGATCATCATTAGTTGATAGTGTCCAAAATCTGAACTCACCTGGAACTTAATACAATCAGCCTTCTCAGAGAACTCCCTGGAGGCCAAGTCTATTGTAAAGAACTTGGCTCCCATCTTCTGTTCGTTTGCACCTCAGTGTACTCCTCTGTGAAATGGGTGTGATGAGGAGGCCTCCAGTGTAGGGTGTGGCCTGCAACCTGGCAAGTCGGGTTTGAGGCTTGGGAGCACCCTAATAGTCGCCTCCCCACCCCCCAGTATCTTCGACCGTGAGGACGAGACCAGCCCGCGAACCAGCAGCCTGGCTGCGCTGGAGAAACGCCAGGCCGAGAAGAAGAAAGAGCTGATGAAGGCGCAGAGCCTCCCCAAGACCTCTGCCTCCCAGGCGCGCAAGGCCATGATTGAGAAGCTGGAAAAGGAGGGCGCTGCGGGGTGAGCAGCAGAGGGCGGGGGCTGGGGGTGGGGCCTGGTGACCACAGGGGTGGGGGGTGGGGGGTGGGCAGCGATGGGCGGGCCATAAACGGTGGTGGGCGGGGCCTGGAGGTCAAGAAAGGCAGAGCTGAGGCCCAATGGGTGGGCTGAGGGACGCAGTCCCCCTATAGTCCTGTGATCCTGATCCTATACTACCCTTCCCTCTCCCCCCGACCCCCACCCCCCTGCAGCAGCCCTGGCGGACCCCGTGCAGCGGTACAGCGCTCCACCAGCTTTGGGGTGCCCAACGCCAACAGCATCAAGCAGATGTTGCTGGACTGGTGCCGAGCTAAGACGCGAGGCTATGAGGTGAGCCCCGTGAGGCCAGGCCAGGCGGCGGGCGGCATTCCCAGCCTGCAGCTGGGGACCTGCCTCTTGGCAGAACTTTCTCACCGACCTGTACCCTTCGCAGCCACCGTGCTTGGCAGTGAAGATGGGAAGCCCTCTCTCTAGTCTAATGAGATGTGGCAACAAGCTCAGAGAGGGCACAAAACGCGCCCTAGATTCCAGAATGGGCGATTAAGTGGCAGGGCCAGCCCCTAACCCTTGGAGTCCCCTCCTCCTTGCTCTCTCTGGGGGGCACTGGGCAAATTTCTGTTAAGTAAAGGAAGGAGTGATGGGGACATGGCCTTAGCTGGGTGGTGCTGGGCCGCTTGGTCGCGCTGTTCCTGTAAGTAGCAGCCATGCGAGTTGTTGACAGGCTAATTGGGAGGAGGCTCATGCTCCCACTGCTCACCTGCTGTGCAGCCTTGGACAAGCTGCAGGGCCTCTCTGATCTCTAATGCCAAGATCCTGGGGGTAGAAGGGGCTTGGGGTGGGGGGGTTGACGGCTCCTCCCACCACCCCGTAGCACGTGGACATCCAGAACTTCTCCTCGAGTTGGAGCGACGGCATGGCTTTCTGTGCGCTGGTGCACAACTTCTTCCCCGAGGCCTTTGACTACGGGCAGCTCAGCCCGCAGAACCGGCGCCAGAACTTTGAGGTGGCCTTCTCCTCCGCCGAGTAAGTGTGGGCCTCAGCCCTGCTGGTGTGGCCAGGCGTCCGGGGCTGGGCCTCTGGGCCAGGCCTAGTTGCTCCGAGGCCCCCCCGAAAGCTGGCCGGCTGCACTGTCAGACAGTGGCTGACCCGGTTCCCCAAGAAGCCCCTGTCCTTCTCCACCCCGCCCACCCGATGCCGAGTGTGCCAGGTGCCCGCCGGAACGAAGGAGCCACAGGCCCGCCTACCAGCCCGGCCAAGGCCCACCAGGTGGCCCTGTCCATAGCCCCTCCATCCTGCCTCTGCCCCCTTCTCCCTTTCTCTGTCCTCCTCTCCTTCCCACTATCACCAGAGCTTCCTGCTCCCACGGGATCCCGGCTGGAGATTCCAAAAGGGGGCTCCTGGCCCGGGCACCGTGCCCGCCCAGCCTATATAGGTGTTGCCAGAGGCTTATATAGGAGATCAGCAAGCCCTCCACTTTGGAATCGTTGCCCCGTCTGCTCACCTCACCCTCAGCACCCTCTTCCATCTGTCTTTCTTCTCTGCCTTTCTCTTTCTGGTTTTCCTCTCACGCCTCCCTCACCCCCCCTCCCTGGGGCACAGCCCTCCTCTCCAACCTGGGGCGCCCACGTCATTGCCCCCCACCCCGCGTCCCCGCTTGCCCCAATAGTTCTCTGCACCTGTGACTGGTCTGGCCCCCCACCCCTGTCTGCATCGCACACCATTAGTGACGGGTAGTGAGCGGCACGTCCACGATGGGGTGGGGGCATGCGGGGGGCTGGCAGACTGCGGCACTGAGAATGTAACTGAACTCATGTCTCTGTGTATGTGTGTGTCTCTCTGTTCTACTCCCCTCTCTCTTCTCTGCCTCTCCCCCCTCTTCCCGCCCGGGCCCCGTCTCCCTGCCCCTTCCCGGCCCCCTCCCCTCCCCTCCCCAGGACCCATGCGGACTGCCCGCAGCTCCTGGACACAGAGGACATGGTGCGGCTTCGAGAGCCCGACTGGAAGTGCGTGTACACGTACATCCAGGAGTTCTACCGCTGTCTGGTCCAGAAGGGGCTGGTAAAAACCAAAAAGTCCTAACCCCTGCTCGGGGGCCCCACGGTGAGAAACGCCTCTTCGCCCGTCCGCCTCGCCCGCCGAAATCTGCTCCGTGGGGGCACAGAGAGAGGTCTGGGAGGGGGGTGGTAAAAGCAGAGGGGCCCTGAGAAGCGCCAGAAGGAGCCCTAATTAGGCAGTGGTGACCCAGGTGAGCAGGACTGAGATGGAGGAGGCACAGGAGGGACCCTGGGGAGGCACCTGGCCCAGCCTGCAGGTCCGGGGCAGGAAAAAAGCTCACACAGGGCTGGAATAGGAAGGACAACGTTCAGGCTAAATGAGGGAAAGGGCGCTCCAGACAACGGGGTGAGCCTATGTCCCGGGCTGGGTGCAAGAGATGGAGAGCATGGCACCCCCGGGAAAGAACGGAAGTTTAATCTGGGCATGAGGGGAAGGTGGGGGCCATGGTCGGGAGAGGAACTTCCTCCTAAGGACCAGAGTCATCTAAGTTTTCCAAACAGGAGGGATGTACATGGTCTGGTTGGCATTCTAGAACAATCCTCGAATGGGGGATGGGGAGCAAGGGGGTGGACTAGATAGCTGGAGAAGCTTAATGAGAAGTAGAAGGACAGGCTTCTTGATGGATCCAGTTGAGGAGGCAGAAGTGGGGGGAGGTCAAGGAAGCCTCCCAGCCCTCCAGTTTGGGCACCGGAGACTTGGGGGTGCCATGCTCCATGCTGGGGAGCTCAGGACCTTGGTCCGTTTGACGGGAAGATGTTCCTGGTTGGGGTCCTGGATCCCTCAGCCAGCTGCGGCATTTCCTCTCTGGTCACCTCAGCTCAGGGCCACAGTAGAGAATTCCGATCCTGAGCGGACTGCCCATTCCAGACCAGCTCCAAGGGGGAGAGGGGCGGGCTCAGAGAGTCCCAGGGGGCTTAGGCCAGGGCCAGGCCAGAAACTGGAGCTCCTGACCCCTCCGCCCCCCTCCTTAGTGGCTCTTTACCTTGCCCATCAGGTTTCCTACCCATTTTGTAAAGAAAAGGAAAGACAGAGACCCAGAGGGAGCAGGGGGATTGGCCGAAGTAACGTGAGTCAGGGACAGAGCTAGAGGTGCACTCAGATGCCCCTCGGGGCCTGGAGCCATTGCAGGGGTGGCGGGTGGGGGCAGCCCACACGTGCACACAGACTCAGAGAAGCTGTGCAGGTGAGGAGAGGATGGGCTTGGTGCTGTCCCCAGGTCATATATGGGCTTGGGAGCTGCTGCCCAACAGGCTGGCCTGGAAGGAGAGGGGCCAAACCCGGCCAGGATCCAGCTGGAAAGTGTGACTCAGCTGTGTTGTTGCTCAAATTGCCTGGTGTTTGGCCTGTCACTAGGGCAGCTGGAGCCCTGAGCCGTGAGTCCCAGTGTCAACAATGGCTTTATAAGGTCTCCAGGGAAGACACCAGGGGTGGGAAGGAGTTCCACATGGGGGGGCGGGGGGAGGCTGGGATCCCTGGGGAGATAGCCACAGCTGGGAGAAGAGACAGAAAGAGGCTGCCTCCCATCATAGTACAGCTGAGAAAACAAGCCCACTCTGGGGCAGGGCTGACCCCAGCGGCACACAGCGCATCACCCACAGAGTCAGGAGCTTCTCACTCATCCTCAGTGCTTCCAAGGTTTCAAATGAGGTCGAGAATAACTAGTCCGTTGCTATAAAGATGGGGAAACTGAGTCACAGAACAGGGCAGGGCTTTGTCTAGCATCCACAGCTGGTCAGGAATAGAGCCTGGCCGGAAGCAAAGGTCGCCTTCCTCCCAGGCTGCTTCTCGGAGGGAGTGCAGTGAGCTGGGCGCAGGCCTCAGCCCTGCCATGGTCCCAGGTTTGACCTTGAAGACACAAGAAAGGAGGTGTATGGCACCCCCGGGAAAGGAAGTTTAATCTGGGCATGAGGGGGAGGTGGGGGCCATGGTCGGGAGAGGAACGTCTTCCTCCTAAGGACCAGAGTCATCAAAATTTTCCAAACAGGAGGGATGTACAGGGTCTGGTTGGCATTCTAGAACAATCCTCAAACGGGGGATGGGGAGCAAGGAGGTGGACTAGATAGCTGGAGAAGCTTAATGAGAAGTAGGACAGGCTTCTTGATGGATCCAGTTGGGGAGGCAGAACGGGGGTGGGGGTCAGGGAAGCCGCCCAGGCCTCCAGTTTTAGGCACTGGGGACTTGGGGGTGCCATGCTCCATGCTGGGGAGCTCAGGACCTTGGCCCTGTGGTGTCTTGGGAACAGAGGCACTTCCTGCCCGTATGCCTTCCCGGCCCAGGGAAACTCACTCGAGCCTGGCTGAGTGCTTACTGTATGCCAGGCCATGGAAACTCATTCAAGCCTGGCTGAGTGCTTACTGTATGCCAGGCCATGGAAACTCACGCAACCCTGGCTGAGTGCTTACTGTACGCCAGGCCATGGAAACTCACGCAATCCTGGCTGAGTGCTTACTGTACGCCAGGCCATGGAAACTCACACAACCCTGGCTGAGTGCTTACTGTACGCCAGGCCATGGAAACTCACACAACCCTGGCTGAGTGCTTACTGTACGCCAGTCGTGGCAGGTGGGAGGGAGAAAGGCAGAGGCGGACTTGCTCTGGGAGAGAAGGGAAGGGGGAACCAGGGCGCAAACTACAGCCTTAGAGGTTTGAGGCTGTCGGTTGCTTAGTAGCTGCAGCCAACTCACCCCAGAGTAGGGCGAGGGCTCCTGCTGTAGGGAAGAGGGGGCTCCAGGCAGGTGCCAACACCCTGGGCCCCATCAGGCCTAGCCCTGCACTCAATGGGGCTTAAAACAAAGGACTCAGTGATTCGGTCTCCCTGTCAGTAAAGAGCGCCAACACTCTGGAAGATGGACAGGGGGTGGTCCCGCCCCCTGAGCGTGATGTAGATGGTCTTGTCTGTATTGATTGGAACCCTCATCTGCCTTCCTGCCCTACCAAAGGGGGTAATAAGGGTTAAAGAACTGCCCCTCCCCCTCCAACCCACATTCCTCCCTGGCCATCTCTCACAGCAGGGTTGTCCCCTGGGGCAAGGACAGGGCTTGGAGGGGTGGTGTGCCTTCAGCCCTGCAGGAGGTACGAGGCCAGAGAACTGGCACTGGGGCAGGCCTGGCTGCAGGGAAAGATTTGCCAGGGGAAGGCCCCCAGGGTGCAATGGCCCTGGCGTGTGCCACCAGGGTGAGCAGAGGGTGGCCCTCCAGAGAGAAGTGGGAGGGGTCTGTGGTCGGGACCTCCCCAGGGATGGGGGTAGAGACCTGTACCCCGCACCTCCCCCTCCACCAGCCTGGCCTCGCTTCGGCAAAAGTGCCTCCAGGCTTGGATGATTGGAGCTTGGGCTCCCTGCCTTCTTGGAAGGCTTCCCCGCCCCCCATCCCCCCACCTTCTCCCTTCAACCCACAACGGAGAGTGGAAGACCAGCAGGCTTTGGCAGTGAGAAGACCTCACAGTAGGGGCTTCACCCCTAGAGCCCCCGCGGGCGCTGACCGCCACCCTGTGCCCCTCCCGCAGGATGCTGGTAGACTGCGTGCCCCTGGTGGAGGTGGAAGACATGATGATCATGGGCAAGAAGCCCGACCCCAAGTGCGTCTTCACCTATGTCCAGTCGCTCTACAACCACCTGCGGCGCCACGAGCTGCGCCTGCGCGGCAAGAATGTCTAGCCTCCCGCCCGCACGGCCTGGGCCCGTCCCGCCCGCGGCCCGGCCAGCCGCCCCCACCGTCCAGGCACCCTCCCTCCCCGCCCCGTGCGCCTGCCGCCTGCCCACCGCTGCCTGGTCTGTCGCCACCCCATCCCCGGCATACACAAGCAGCGTTTTGATAAATTATTGGTTTTCAAGGACCCTGGCTCCGTCTCTGCCTCTTTGCAGGGGGGTGGAGGGGGGGTTGAATGGATGGAGGGCAGGTCGCCAAGGTGCGCCGATTTGCCCCCGCTGGGAGCTAGGCAGTTGGGGATCCTGCGGTATTTGGGGTGGGGGGTCTCCTATTCCCCACCCCCCTCCTGTACCCATCCCGCACCCACCCCCACCCGCAGCAAGGAAGGAGTCGAGTCTCTTTTAAGACGGAAGGGGATTTAGTGGCGCTAAAGGGAGATCCGTGGGAGGGAATAACGGGGAATTGAGAGGAACCCTCAACTCCATCCCTGCCGGCTCCGGGGCGGGGCTTCGGCCCTCAGCGAGGGAGGGGCTCCCGGGACGCTGAGCGCTTCATTGGGTCCCCAGGGCTCGGGCGGGGGTGGAGGTGGGGGGCGCATTCCCCGACCTACAGCTCCCCACGGTCCGGATCGCCTTCGGCGGGCCTCGCCGGCGCCCGCAGGTACTCAGGGGGCACAGGCTCGTCGGGCGACGCCTTGCGGTAGAAGCCGAGCTCCTGCACCAGCGCGTTGATCTCCTCGCGGGTCATGTCGCTCAGTGGGATGCGCTGCGGTGGAGGGTGGAGGGACTGGGTCAGCGCGCCCCATCCGGCTTGCACCCCGTCCGGCTTGCGCCCCGCCTCCTCCACGCCCATCGCCTCCTCAGGCCTCACCTCCAGCTCCTCGTGGCGGTGGCCCAGCAGCACGAGCTCAGGGTCGGCCCCAGGCAGGTGTTTCAGCACCAGGTTGTGACTGGAGAGTTAAGGTGGGTGGTGGCGGGACAAGGCAGCGACCCCCATGTACACGTGAGGAAATGAGGGTCCCAAGGAGTGAAGGGCCCTCCTCTCCATTCCTGTGTGTGTAGCAGTCAGTCCTCATTGGTCAGTTTTTGTTGTTGTTGTTTTGTGGGTTTGTTTTGTTTGGTTTTGTTGGAAGGGAGAGGGACAGTCAGAGAGAAATATCGATGTGAGAGAGACACATCAATTGGTTGCCTCCTGCACGCACCCCAACCAAGGCCAGGGAACCTGCAACCGAGGTACATGCCCATAATGGAACCAGGGACCCTTCAGTCCGCAGGCTGAACTGGCGAGGGCATCGTTAGTCGATTTCATTTGCCTGCCCAACATGAAGACCACCTCGGAGTTCTCTGGGCAGCCACTGCCCACCAATTTGACTTGTCATCCTATCCGTGCAATTAAGTGGAAGGAGAGTCTCCCAGCTTCCCTCCCCCTCCGCCCTCCCCCAGCACGGAAGAAGGATACTAGAGTGGGATGTCCTGGGTGACGAAGGCCTTCACCTGGGGAGGAACCAGAGCGTCAGACCTCAACCCACTCCAGGTACCAAAGGGGAACCGAAGCCTAGTGACCCAAGCCTAGAGTTCCTCCCCGACCGGATCACTGGGACCACGTTGCCCACCCCCAAAAGGCTCAGGGGAGACAAAACTGGGGATCCCTTCCTTCCAACTCACCTCCTTCAGGCGATTCAGCTGTCATCCACCACAGGACTGGAGGGGGACAACATGCGATAGGTTAGGAGCAACCTCACACCTGCCCCAACCATGTCCCCAAGGCCACTGCGCGGCCATCGCCCAGGTGCGACAGCCTGTGGACTACCCCTAGAGCAGCAGTTCCCACGGTGAGGAGGTGGAGGCCTCTTGTAGGCAGAAGGGGGAACTCTGTATAGATGGGGAAACTGAGGCCTGGGAATGCCAAGGGAAAAGAGGGCAAGGCCAGAGACCAACCCCAAGGGCACTTACGGGTCTTTGGGACTCTGGCCTGCATGTCTGGCTGACTACTGACTCACTCCCAGTGCCCAAGAGAAAGAAATTATCACCTACTCCTCTCAGGCAGTAGAGACCTGGGCCTCGCTTTTGGCCCCTCGAGCCTCAGGGTGGGACAGAACAGAAGGAAACAGCTCAGAACTGCCCTGGGCACTCACCTGCCATCTGGTCCCTACCCTGCTACCAGCAGGGTTGGCCCTCCCTGCCACGTGGGGCCCAGCCCTACAGACCATCTGGTAGCTTCCCCAACGTGGGAGGATGGGAGGGCCCCTCCCTGCGCTCCCTAAAGGTATAGGGACACCTCCCAGCAGGATTCCAGACCCCAGGACCACCCACTGCAGTCCTCCCTCTTCCTCCTATCCCTCCATTTGTCAGAAAGCCAACTAAGGCCCAGAGAGGGGCTGAGATGATTCATGTCACACAGCAAGACAGGGACTCTGGTGGGGAATTTCCTGGCAGGGGTGTGGGGTGGGGAGGGCTGCTGCAGAGTAAGTATTAGTAATGAAGTTCCTAGGCCCCTTCTCTGGCTCCTGCATGGGGGCGGGGGGGGGGGGGGGCACCCAGAAAGCCTTCCCTCCCCCAGGCAAAGGGAGAGACCATCAGGAACTGGCGTGGGGGAGGAATTCCAGGAAAAAGTGTATCGATGGAGCTTGTCGGGGGGAGGTGGGCTCCAGAAGGCAGGTTTGGGAGAGTTACAGGCCAAGAGAAGGGTTTGGGGACAGGGTCAGTGTGTCTGGGACCCACCATATGGGAGGGAGTTGGGGAGGAGTTCGGATTTCTAGGCCGCAAGATCGAGTGTGTCGGTAGGTGCTAGGGCGTCCGGAGGCTGCGGAGTGAGAGGGATGGTCCCGACCCAATGGGGACTTGGGAGTCGGGAGAGTCCTGGGACCTGAACGGGGCGGTGGTTCCCGGGCTGGGGGCCGCCGACGCACTCACCTCCACCCGGGCTCGGGCCAGGCCATGCAGACGGTTCCAGTCGGGCCGGAAGGTGGTGGTAGCGGCCGTGAGTGCCGCCAGAAGCAGCAGCACGGGCGGTGGAGGCAGCGGGAGGCGCATCGGAACCCGCAGGAAGGTAATCCGAAAGCTGGAGGTGCAACGCCCGGCCGCAGCGCCACGTCTAGGCCTGCAGACTAGCTCCGCCCCTGCAGGCTAGCCCCGCCCCTGCTCGAGGCCCCGCCCCTCCCCGCCAGGGACCACGCCCCCAGATCCGGGTCCCCGCCCCAGGGCCCGCGGGGGGTCCTCTGCCTGGCTCCCAGTGGGGTTCCGGGTCCTCACCGGCCCTCGGGCCTTTACTTTCCTTGTCCTGAGAGTGGCCACCCTCCCTCTGACCCCCGAGGGCTTGGACGCTCGGGCAGGAAGCGGCCAGACAGCACCGCCTCGCGCCTGCAGGGGGCGCGGGCGGGATGCGGACCGACAGGGGAGTTTCTGTCTACTAGGCAGACACGGATTTCAAGAGGAAACTGGAGCCTGGGGAGTCCTGGCTTATGGTGTGTTTTTTTTTTATTTCAATTAGGGTTTCAATTCCTAAAGCACACATTGTGGCGATAGGAACATGACGTGCTCTGTAGGAGCTGCGAGGGTAGAAGGGTTTTGGAACAGTCCCTGGCACCGTGCTAGTTTTCATTATTCCATTCCTTACCTCATTAAAGGCCCATGAACTACTTCCTTTTGCAGGTTAGGAAACAGTCTCAGAAAAGGTCAAGCATGATTAAGTTGTGGGTCTGGGATTTGAACCTGAAATGCCTCTGGGCTCATCTCACCAAGCCAAAGAGGACTGGATCCAAATACCACCTCCCCTCTTCTCACCTAAGACAGACACAGCAAACTGATCACCGTGCTTTCCCACTGGATCGAGACTGGGACTCAGAATTCTTCTCAGCATCAAACCAAGGTTGCCTTAGGATTTTCATGGACCCCCTGGGCATTTTTTTGCCTTTCTGGGCCCCTTTCTCCACTAAGAAATCATATTAAAAATTGGATTTTACAACTGCTTTGATAAAAAAGAATATAATCCAGGCTGGATTCATTATTACATATTCATTTTTTTCTTCTGATTTTAAAATAAATTAAAACTATAACATTTTTGCCCTGGCCAGGCGGTTCAGAGCATCCTCTCGTACACCAAAAGGTTGTGGGTTGGATTCCTGGTCAGGGCACATACCTAAGTTGCTGGTTCGATCCCAGTTGGGGCACATACAGGAAGCAACTGATCGATGTTTTTTTTCTCGCATCGATGTCTCTCTCTCTCTCTCTCTCTCTCCCTCCTTCCTCTCTGAAATCAATAAAAATACATATTAAAAAACAACAACAATGTGCCCAACTGGCGTGGCTTAGTGGTTGAGCTTCAACTTACAAACCAGGAGGTAACAGTTGGATTCTCTGTCCACGCATATGCCCAGGTTGCCCTCTCGATCCCCAGTAGGGGGCATGCAGGAGGCAGCCAATCAATGATTCTCTCTCATCATTGATGTTTCTCTCTCTTTCTCTCTCTCTCTCTCTCTCTCTCTCTCTCTCTCCCTCTCCCTTCCTCTTTGAAATCAATAAAAATATTTAAACAAATAAAGACTTCAATGATCATTAAAACAAACAAAAAAAAAACAATGGGCTCCCTCTACACGCCCGCCCCCCCCTCCCCCCCCCCCCCCCCCCCACACACACACATCCCAGCAAGAGCCTCAGAGTGGCTGAAGCCAGAGGCCTCATGGAGCCTGTGGTTTTCTGCTGACAGAACCAAGCCTCAATGCCCTTTGGGCCACGTCGGTCACTGGCGAGATGCCATCAAACCACTCTCATTGCATTAACCTGGATGCCGTGGACTGCAGGGGCCACAGCCTGGGCTGCTGAGGGTTGACTAGCCAGCCAGTGGAACCAGTGAGAGAGACACTGGCCACAACAGTACCGGGAACATTCTGGCATCGGCAGCCATGGGAGGCCCACGATCTCCCAGAACAATCACTGCTGGTAATCCATTCCCTTATGTGGCAGTTTGTAATCTAGGCCAGCAGACTTCCTCGGAGGGAGCTGGGCTTAGGGTTTAGTCTGTGATGAGGTGAGGCCCAGACCGGATCAGGCTCAGCCCTTAGCCTGGGGTCAGGGTTAGAACTGAATTAGGAGCAGGAGTCAGGGCTCAGCCAGTGATGATTAGGCTCGGGCCTCACCCTCCAGGATCAAGGCTCCGTCTGTGACTACACTCAGGGCTCAGCTTTTGGCC